TCGAAGACTGCCATTGAACGATTCAATGTAGGCGTTATCGGTTGGTGTACCTGGCCTGGAGAACTCCAGTACAACTTGATTAGCATAAGCCCATAGATCCATTGTGTGGCCGGCGAACTCACTACCATTGTCACAATGAATTCGTTTGGGCTTGCCCCTCTTGCTGACAATTACACTGAGTACCCGAGCCACGCCTTAGCCGCGTAAGCTTTTGCCAGGCTCGATCGCCAAACACTCCCGTGTAAAAATATCGACAATTGTCAGCGCCCTGAAACGCGTACCAGAGCTAGTTTGGTCACTAACGAAGTCCATACTCCAAGCAATATTGGGTGCTTTAGGAAGCAGCTTGGAAGGTTGCCGATGCGCTGCACTCACACTGCGTCTTGGTCGTTTGGCCCGTAATTGCAGGCCTTCTAGGCAATACAAACGATGTACACGCTTTTTGTTGATGTGAATGCCTTCTCGCTTCAACAACACATGAATACGTTTGTATCCGTATCGAATGCGCGCATGGGCCAGTTCCACAATACGTTTTCGAAGGGCCTCTTGTGGTGGTCTTTTGGGCACGTAGTTCAACGTCTTTCGAGGCAACTTCGCCAGCAGGCACACGCGCCGTTCGCTGGCTTGATAGTGGCTGAGTAGATAGCGCGCCATCGCTTTGCGCTGTGGCACGCTCACCACTTTTTTGCAGCAACCTCCTGGAGCATGGCTTTGTCTAAGCTCAGATCAGCGACCAGCCGTTTGAGTTTGCTATTTTCCTCACGCAGCTGTTTCAGATCACGCGCTTCACTGGGTTCAAGCCCCGCATATTGGTCTCGCCAGCGATAGAATGTCGCCGGTGCAATACCTAGCTGGCGGCAAATACCAGCGGCTGGTGTGCCCGCTTCATGCTGCTTTACCGCTGACACAATCTGTTCTACTGAGTATCTTTTGCGCTTCATTTTCAGACCCTCCACTGAGGTTTAAGTCTGTCAGATTCTCACACTCTTTGGCTTCATTTATTGGGGGACCCTCATTTTCATATCGTAGACTTTCTAAACACCGGTCGATTGATATGTTGAGAGCTTTAAGTCTGCCCTGATATCGACAGTCGTTCCTGAACGATTAACCCGCAGGGTACGTGTAGTATTTGAGTATCCACTTTTGTCCCGCTGTCGAAGGTAATTTGATAGGAGTCAGCCATCTCTCTGCGTGACTATCGGAGGATGGACGCCTAGTTACTGGCCGCCCATCTAAGATAAACTGCCTACCTTTACCAGAGGGTTTTCCTTTGCGTGTGTTACATGTTTACCGCACATACTTCCCAGACACTCAAGGTGGCCTTGAGGAGGTTATTCGGCAGATCTGTCTGAACACAAAAGCGCGCGGAGTCGAAAGCCGAGTTCTTTCTCTGAGTGCCGAACCTGAACCTGAAGTAATCAGTTTTCCCGAAGCTGATGTTTATCGCGCCAAAATGACCGTTGAAATTGCATCCTGCGGTATGTCCATTGCAGCACTTCCACTTTTCAAATCGCTCGTCGAATGGGCTGACTTGATTCACTACCATTTCCCCTGGCCATTCGCTGACGTTCTGCATTTTTACGCTCAGGTGCAAAAGCCCTCGATCATCACCTACCATTCGGACATCGTTAGACAGCGCTCGTTAAATATCCTGTACGCGCCATTGATGAAGCGCTTTTTAGGTTCAGTCGACAGAATAGTTTGTACTTCCCCAAATTACTTTGTGACCAGCGAAATACTCCCGAAGTTTGAGAACAAGATCGAAGTTATTCCAATCGGCATAACCGAGCCGTCCTATATTACGCCAGACGAGCACACCATGGATCGCACCAGGCAACAATATGGTGAAAATTACTTTCTCTTTGTCGGCGTGTTGCGTTACTACAAAGGCCTGCACATCCTCTTGGACGCGATCAAGGACGCGCCTTTTCGAGTGGTCATCGTCGGCTCCGGACCCACCGAAGCAGAACTTAAAGTTCAGGCTGAAAGCCTGGGCCTCGATAACCTGACCTTCACAGGCTATCTGCCGAATGAAGAAAAAATCGCACTGCTGAAACTTTCTAAAGCCATAGTCTTTCCTTCCTACATGCGATCGGAAGCATTCGGCGTCACATTGCTTGAAGGCGCCATGTACAGCAAACCACTGATCTCCACAGAGGTTGGCTCAGGTACAAGCCACGTAAATATAGACGGCGAAACAGGTTTTATCGTCCCCCCTGCGTCACCTAAAGCTTTGCGAAAAGCCATGGATCAACTGTGGCACAGACCCGACATGGCCAAACTGATGGGCAGAAAGGCTCGCCAGAGATATGAACGGCTATTTACAGGCGAGCTAATGGGTCAACGGTACGCTCAGTTGTATGGCGAACTTACTGACGATTCCGCCCAATCGGAGTCTGGTGAGCAAAAGAGCAATGAGGCTTAATACTTGAAGCTCGGTATAGACGCCCGCCCTCTCGAGCACCCTCGAACAGGCATTGGCAGGTACACAAAAGAAATTATTGATCACATCGTCAGCTTGCGCGATTGGTCGATTGTTCTTTTCTCCAGCGGCAAGCTCCCAGCGCTGTGGGATAGCGCCACAAACATCGAATACAGAATTCCGGGGCTACCAACCATTGGGGCATTCCAGACAAAGGTTGGAAATCTCACCAAAGAGTATGACATCGATGTTTTTTTTGGCCCAAGACATCAACTCCCCCTTTGCTTATCTTGCCCCAGCGTCCTTACCATTCACGATATGGCCTGGCTGAAAGCACGCAAAACCATGAGGCTCTCTGGCGCTCTTGTCGACGCCTTTTTTATGCCACAGGCAATAAGACGAGCAACCAGGATAATCACTGTCTCAAACCACACTCTATCCGCTGTCTGCAGCTTCATGCCTGATGCTACAGAAAAGACACGTGCGATCTACGAGGCGCCATTCACCTACGCAGGGCGGTCAGAGTTGGTCGATAACGTGACTCAACCATTCATTCTTGCCGTAGGCACCCAGGAACCTAGAAAAAATTATGATCGGCTGTTAGCTGCGTTTAAAAAGGCGTCCCTGGCGCACCCCAATCACCAACTGGTGATAGTTGGAGGGCAAGGTTGGAAGACAAATCTAACTCATACAATCACTCGCCTAGGGCTTGTCAGCCAGGTAAAAATCCTGAATAGCGCTCACGATGATCAGTTGAGCTTCCTATACCAACACTGCGAATTCTTGGCTATGCCCTCGCTTTACGAGGGTTTTGGATTACCCTTGGTCGAGGCTATGAATTTCGATAAAGCGATATTAACAAGTAACAATTCGGCAATGCGTGAGATCGCATCCGACGCAGCCGTTTTTGTTGATCCACTCAGCGTAAAGTCAATCGCCGAAGGGCTCTCTTCATTAATGAGCAATGCCCAACTGCGTGAAAAACTAGCTGGCAAGGCAAGAGTCCGCAAAACACTATTTTCCTGGAGTGAGGCGGCTGAGCAAACGGCTCAAACTATTGAGGACGCATTTCGAGCTGTCAGCTGAACCGCGCCCCTCTTCTGGACCGGCTACAATGAGCACACCCAACAGACAATGCGTGATCTAAGCGAACTTAGAAACGGTCATCCTCCCACGCCCTTGATCTTGACGGCGCCCGCCACCCAAACCCAAGCGCGATACCCACAGGAAACCAGAACAACAACCAGCTATCCCCCACTTTATCGACCAGCTCATGCCCATCCAAAAGATAGGCAGACAACGCCAGCGCCAATACACCCAACATAAGCTTGGCTTCAGAGCTATCGTAGTTACGCAGCAACTGAACCAGTGTCAGAACAATCACAGCCCCAAATAGAACCAAAGCAACAATCCCACCCTGATGCAGAAGCGCCAGATACATATTGTGAGGATGAAAGAAAGTCAGGCTCCCGATCACCAGGTCATCAGACGTTAAAATACCACGACCAATCACTATCGAATCAGATGCGATATTGCTGAAGGTTGCGGACCAGATATCAAGCCGAAAGCTATCCCCCCTTGGCAACAATAACTCTCGCGTCGTCTCGCTGGTAATCAGGATAAGTAATACCACGCCACCAAGCACACCCACCGAAATAACCGCAGTCAGAAACTGGCGCACGTCTTTACACCATTGGGCGACACCAAATACAGCCAGACCTATCACCAGGCTCACCCAGGCATTGCGCGAGTCGGAAAGAAAGACAGCCCATATCATCAATAGAGCAACCGCGAGCGCTGCCAACCGCAATAATGTATTCGACGTTGATTGCGCAGCCCGCCAGACAAACAGCACCATGGTGCCGTATACAAGAGCGGCAATCACGTGCGTGTCCAGCTGACCAAGGCCATTAAGGCGACCATCAGCGGGGTCTGTAACAAAGAAATTGATCAAACTGGCCAGAACCGCAAGACATCCAACCCAGGTTAACGCGGTGGACATCCAGCGCTGTAGCTGTCCACGAAGTTGACACTCCGCTGCAGCCACCACAAATGCAAGAATCAGAATAGAGCGTGTCCAGACCGATATGGCTTCTCGCAGCACAAAGGGTTCAGACCAGAACACGCTCAAGCAGAGCCAGACCAGCAGCGCGACAATCCAGCGTACAAGAGGCAACTGAAAAACATCACGCCAGGACGCAAAGCTAACGAGCATGACAATGGCGAGAATGTACGTCGGGTAACTTGCGCGACTCTGACTGGGCAGCAGCAGCACAGCAACAAAACAACAGACGATAAGGATCGCCAACCAGGTTATCCGGTCGCGAAAGAAGGCGTTTCCTTTGATTGACTGAGCATGCATGCGCGAAGTCTAAAGCAAAACTCGCACACTCTCACTGAATTGGTGGGCCCACCAGGACTCGAACCTGGGACCGATGGATTATGAGTCCAGCGCTCTAACCAACTGAGCTATAGGCCCTGTATACACAAATGTAACGCGCGGAATTCTACCACCAACACCGAAAACAAAAACCCCGGGATTTCGTCCCGGGGTTTTATTTTTTGTCTGGAAAATCGGCTAGCTACGACCGAGGCTTTCCATCCACTCATCCAGGAAGCTGCGCAGGTGTTCTGAACGGCTTGGATGACGAAGCTTACGTAACGCTTTGGCTTCAATCTGACGAATACGCTCTCGTGTTACATCAAACTGTTTGCCGACTTCTTCCAGCGTGTGATCGGTATTCATGTCGATACCAAAACGCATCCGCAAAACCTTCGCCTCACGCGCGGTCAAACCGCCCAGCACGTCTTTGGTTGCTTCTCGAAGACCTTCACCTGTCGCAAGCTCTACGGGTGAGCCGATGGTGGTGTCTTCAATAAAGTCACCCAGATGAGAATCCTCATCATCACCAATAGGCGTTTCCATGGAGATCGGTTCTTTGGCAATTTTCAGAACCCGCCGTACTTTGTCTTCCGGCATTTCCATACGTTCGCCAAGCTCTTCCGGCGTGGGTTCGCGCCCCATCTCCTGCAGCATCTGACGCGATACGCGGTTCAGCTTATTGATAGTTTCAATCATATGCACTGGAATACGAATGGTGCGAGCCTGGTCAGCAATGGATCGGGTAATCGCCTGACGAATCCACCACGTGGCATAAGTTGAAAACTTATATCCGCGTCGATACTCAAACTTATCGACTGCTTTCATCAAGCCGATATTGCCTTCCTGAATCAGATCCAGGAACTGCAGACCTCGGTTGGTGTACTTCTTCGCAATAGAAATCACCAGACGCAGGTTCGCTTCAACCATGTCTTTCTTGGCGCGACGCGCTTTGGCCTCACCTAAAGACATACGACGGTTGATATCTTTGATCTCAACCACACTCAGATCGGTAAACTTGGTCAGCACTTTCAGCTTCTTCTGCGCCCGCAGAATATCGTCACGCTGCGCTTCTAGAGACTGCGAATACTCTTTATCCGCTTTCACCAGTTTGTTGATCCAGGTCACGCTGGTTTCGTTGCCCACATACTCTTTGCGGAAAACATCGCGCGGCACCTTACCCTGTCGAACAGCAAGCGTCAGGATCGTGCGTTCGTGTCGTCGCACAATATCCAGGCCGCCGCGGGCCATGCTGACAATCTCGTCAAAGTGTTTGGGTACCAGTTTGAAACAACAGAACGCTTCTCCCAGCTTAACCTGCTGAGCGCGCGCTTCGTCACTGTCACGGCCTTTTTCAGCAATAACCTTAAGTGTTTTGTTGTACTGGCGTTTTAAAGTTCCAAAGCGTTTTTTCGCTTCTTCTGGATCAGGCCCGGTTGGCCCCTCTTCATCGTCATCATCAGTAGTGGTTTTCTTAACGCCATCCGCGCCGACCTGTGTTGCCGCCGGCACGTGGTCTGTGGGATCAAGATAACCAACAAGGAGGTCAGAAAGTTTGTCTTCTTTGGTTACTTCAGCATAAGTTTCAAGGATGTAATCTACCGGCCCCGGGTAGTAAGACAGCGCGGTCAAAACATCGCGAATACCTTCTTCGATGCGCTTGGCGATGGCAATTTCGCCTTCGCGGGTCAGCAACTCAACGGTACCCATTTCACGCATATACATGCGCACCGGATCGGTTGTGCGGCCTGCTTCGGTCTCAACTGCCGCGAGCGCAGCGGCGGCCTCTTCAGCAGCCAGTTCATCCGCGGTGTTCTCTTCGCTGGACAGTAATTCATCAGCATCAGGTGCGTTTTCATACACGGTGATGCCCATGTCGTTGATCATGCGAATGATGTCTTCGATCTGCTCCGGATCAGAAATGTCGTCCGGCAGGTGATCGTTCACCTCACCATAGGTGAGAAAACCCTGCTCTTTGCCTTTAGCGATTAGCTCTTTCAGGCGAGACTGTTGCTGTGCGGTCGAGATTTGATTGCTCATGTGACCTCAAAAATCAGATGTTAATAAGTATATGAACGCTGCCGGGAGGCATTAGTTCATTGGCTCCAGAAATCCGCGGCGCCGAAAACAATCGGATACCGGGGTTATTCCTGGGTACAAGTGCCATATTTTTTGACGCACCGTTGTTATTTGTGGTGCTGGGGTATGCCTCTTCATTTATTGCTCGTTGTGACCTTGCGATTCACTTTACTGAGCACCCCCGAGAGGCTAACGGATAATTATAGACCCCTAGATGGGGTTGAGCGACTTTTTTTCAATGTTTTCACTGAAAATCTTGCCAGAAAAGTGCCGGGTAAAGTAGTTGGAGATTACTTTTCTCCCTTGCTGCGATGCTGCCAGTATTGTTGCAGGCGCTCCGCGTCCGGCATTTTTTGCAACTCATCGATTGCACTTTTGCGCTGGGCCAGCGTCAGTTTGCTGCACAAATGCAGCATACCGTCGACAAATTCTCCTTTGATGGCCTCAGCGGGCAGCTCGAGTTTCGTTTGCGCCAGGGCAAGCAGGCGCTCGGATCGCTCATCGTCAGACCAGCGGATAAGGAGCTCTTCGGTATCTGCGTCGGCGCGGTTATTCACATAGGTGACGATCTCTCCAAGCAAACCCAGATCACCCGCGGCTTCAACCAGCATATTGCGATTCTCAAGCGGTACATCCGACCAGTACCCTGGGTGCTTGATGAGCAACGTAAGTAAGCGTTCACTTAACTTCACAAGGCCTTTAGACCTTGTTCGCGCAGGCTGCCTGGACAAGGGACGCGACGCCGTTGCTGTACCAAACCCGGTCTGCGCTTCAACTTTCTGCTGCAACAGAGCTTTCAGCTCGGCGCTTGAAACTTTATCAATGTACGGACGGATAAGACCGCCGAACTTCGCCTTGCCATCCACGGTTTCGAGATCAAGGCCTTGTGCCAGACGGGAAAACAGGTACTCAAGACCCGGCACGGCGTTATTCACAAATTTTTCAAAACCAGCTTTGCCCTGCGCGCGGATCAGACTATCCGGATCTTCTCCATCGGGCAGAAAGACCAGTTTCACCTGGCGCATCTCTGTCAGCGTCGGCAGAGCATTTTCTAACGCTTTCCACGCCGCCTGGCGCCCGGCGTTATCTCCATCAAAACAACAGATCACTTCATCCGTATATCGATAGAGTTTGTGGAAATGCGCTTCTCCCGAGGCTGTGCCAAGGGTAGCCACCGCGTTGGCCACACCATGCTGTGCAAGCGCAACCACATCCATATAGCCTTCAACCACAATCAGCTTGTCGATGCGCCGCAACGCACGCCGCGCCTCATACAAACCGTAGAGTTCCTGGCCTTTCTGAAAAAGAGCGGTTTCAGGTGAATTCAGATACTTGGGGCCCTCATCCGCGGTCATGGTGCGGCCGCCAAAGCCGATCACTCTGCCGCGCGTATCACGTATGGGGAAAACAATGCGGTCACGGAAGCGATCGTAGATTCGTCCTTTATCACTTTTTGTCGCCAGACCCGCCGCCAGCAGACTTTTTTCACTCACACCCTCAAGGTTATCCATCAGGTTCTGCCAGCCAGGCGGCGCATATCCCATGCCAAAATCCCGCGCCACTTCGCCAGTCAAACCACGCTTTTTCAGGTAGGCAATGGCCTCCGGCGCCTGGCGTAATGATTGGCGATAATAACGTTCCGCCTTGAGCATGACGTCGTAGAGGTCAGGGTCAACCGGCGCCCTTGCGCCACCGGACTGCTCCCGGGGCACTTCAAGACCGAGCTGTTGCGCGAGGTTTTCCACCGCTTCAACAAATTCCAGCCGATCAAAATTCATGATAAACGTCAGCGCAGTACCACTCTCCTGACAACCAAAACAATGGAAAAACTGTTTGTCCGGGCTGACCGAGAAAGAAGGGGTCTTTTCGTCATGAAAGGGGCACAGGCCGGAATAGTTTTTGCCGGTCTTTTTTAACGTCATGCGCGATTCAATGACATCGACAATATCGACACGTGTCAGTAGATCGTTAATAAAAGACTGTGGGATGCGACCGGCCAAAGTGACTATGCCTGTAATGACAGATGAAAACGGTCACAACAGCCTACCATAAGCGAACCCGAAGACAGGGTGGTTAAACGGTAGATTGTTGCCGCTGGGTTTCAGCGCCCATAAACATCTTCAAAGCGCTCAATATCATCTTCGCCGAGATAAGGACCCACCTGAACTTCGATTAATTCAAGCGGCAGGCGCCCCGGATTTTCCAGACGATGTTTTGCGCCGCGAGGAATATAGGTGCTTTCATTTTCGCCCAGCGTGAACACTTCATCTTCTCGGGTTACACGAGCCGTGCCCTGCACCACGATCCAATGTTCAGAACGATGATGATGCATCTGCAGGCTCAGCGTTGCCCCTGGCTCCACCCTGATGCACTTCACCTGATAACGATCACCTTCAGCGATACCTTCATAGCTGCCCCAGGGTCGAAATACTTCCCGGTGGTAAAGGTGTTCACTTCGCTTGGTCTCAGATAGACGCTGCACAATCTGTTTTACATCCTGCACCTGATCCCTGTCAGCCACCAGAACCGCGTCCGTGGTTTCCACAACCACCAGGTTATCAACGCCGATGATGCCTACCAGACGCTCGCCTGCGCGCACATAAGAGTTGTGGGTATTCACAGCAACCACATCTCCTTCCAGATGATTACCGTCACCATCGCGGTCAGACTCATCCCAGATGGCGGACCAGGAACCAATATCATTCCAGGTGAAATGCACCGGCAATACCTGTGCACGGCTGGTTTTCTCCATCACCGCATAGTCGATGGAATCAGCAGGAGACTTAAGGAAACTGGGCCCAGGACGCAGAAAATCCATATCAGACTGAGCATCGGCCATTGCCTGTTGAGTGCAATCGGTCATCTCCGGTTGAAACTCTGCCAGTTCATCCAGATAAGTTTGAGCACCAAGCACAAACATGCCGCTGTTCCAGAGAAAGTTTCCTGCGTCTAGATATTCCTGGGCCAGCTCTGCGGAAGGTTTTTCTACAAACGACGTGACCGCCTGCAAGCCTGCTTCAGGATCCGCGATCTGAATGTAACCGTAGCCGGTTTCTGCGCGTTGAGGTGTGACACCAAATGTCACCAGGCCGCCCTTCTGGGCGCCCTTGGCCGCCTGCTGTACCGCTTCTGCAAACAGCTCCAGGTTACCAACAAGGTGATCCGAAGGCAGTACCAGCAGAACCGCGTCGGGGTCCTGGGCTACCGCAGCCCAGGCCGCTAATGCAATGGCCGGTGCGCTACTTCGACCTTCGGGTTCAAGAATAAGCTGGCCCCACTGCTGATCGATTTCGCGACACTGCTGGGCCACCAGAAAACGGTGCTCTTCGTTACAGACCAGAATAGGTGCGCTGTTTGTGATGGCTGCTGCACGCAGGAGTGTCGCCTGCAGAAAGGATTGTTCACCGAGTAGTTTCTGGAACTGTTTAGGGAAAAACGAGCGCGAGACTGGCCACAAACGACTACCAACACCGCCAGCCAGAACCACAGGGATAATATTAGGTTCTGAGTCCTGAGCCATCTGTATTCCTTAAACTATTGACTGAGCCTTGCTTTAACGAGGCCGCTTGCGCGCCCCATATCTGCCTGGCCTGCGGCTGCAGTTTTGACCGCTGCCATGACCTTACCCATATCCTGCATGCCACTGGCACCAGATTCTGTTACCACTTTGTCAACCAGAGCAGCCAGGTCCTGATCTGAAAGTTGCGCAGGCAGGAAAACCTGCACTACCCCAATTTCAAACGCTTCCTGCTCCGCCAGATCGTCACGACCGGCATCGGTAAACTGTTTGAGGGAATCCTGCCGCTGTTTCAACATCTTATTCAGGATGTTAAGCACGTCGGCGTCTGTGAGCTCGCGCCGCTCATCCACTTCAACGCGTTTGAGCTCAGAGTTCACCATGCGCAAAACCGCCAGGCGCTCTTTGTCCCGGGCTTTCATCGCTTCTTTAGTGGCATCACCGATGACACCTTTGAGTTCACTCATGGCAGCGTCTCACAAGGGCAATAAGGAGAGTATCAGATCATCGAAGGTGGAAGTCAGCACTGCCACCTGGATAGAGTACCGCCTGGAAGCGGCAGGTCTATCGCCTAAAACGCGCGTTCGTACTTGCGCGCTTCGCGCTGCAGCTTCTTGGCGTGTCTTTTCACTGCAGCAGCCGCTTTGCGCTTACGCACGGCAGTAGGCTTTTCGTAGAACTCACGACGGCGAACTTCCGATAAGACACCGGCTTTTTCACAAGAGCGTTTGAAACGGCGCAGCGCGACGTCAAAGGGTTCGTTTTCGCGGACTTTTACGTGAGGCATTTTGGCCCTGAGTTCTGTAAGGGGCGCGAATTCTACACGCTGGAATATTATCCGTCCAGAGTCTGAATTCTGCTTTATTTGCGCCACAACCCGCTTTTGGGGCATTCTCAAAAACGAGGGAGCGTTGTTAAATTTAGGGGGATCAATGAACGTCATTATAACTGCAGGAATTATTCTACTGTCCATCCTCGCCTTGCCGGCGAGCGCCGGCACGCTCACTGGCAAAGTGGTCAACCATGAAGGCAAGTCCCTGGAGGGGGTGCTGATCAGAGTGACAGACGATGCCCGTGGCGTATCTGAATCGGTGTACACAAACCCGCAGGGCCAATTCACCCTGGCAACGCAGTTACACGGCACTTTGAAGCTGCGCGCACGTACACCGTATTTCAAAGACACCAAAACGACGCTGGAACTGGCGCCGAATGGCACCAGTCAGGAAAACCTGGTGATGACACCAATGACAGACCCGGCCGAGATCTCTGACAGCCTGCCCGCTGCGTACCACTTCGGGAGCCTGCCTTTCGAGTCTGGTGACGACAAAGACTTCAACCGCTATCAGTTTCAACGTGACTGCCTGTCCTGCCATCAAATGGGCAATCCTTTCACCCGTCAGGTGCGCACCGCTGAATCCTGGTCAGGCACCATCGAACGCATGCACCAGATGGTAGGCAATTTTGACGCTGTTCTGCGCGATCGACGCTCGGTGATACTGGCAAAAGGCTTCGATGGCAAACCTGTTTCGGTACGACCTGAATTTCCACTCGACAAAACGCTGGCGCAGACCAAAATTTACGAATACATGCTCGATCGTGCGTTTGTGCCTCATGACGCCATCATTCATCCCAACGGTTTGATCTACACCGTCGATCAGGGCCTTGATCACATCGTTGTGACCGATCCCGCAACCGGCCAGTCGGAGTACTTCCCCCAGGCGGATGGGCGGGCAATGGAATATAGAGAAGGTTATACCTCAGCCGAACAGGAAGTGATCGGCGAATTCAACCCTGGCTCCCGCCACGGTCCGCATTCTCTTGATCTTGCCATCGATGGTAAGTACTACGTCACAAACGCCGGCAGCCGCAGCATCGGCGTGTTTGATCCCATAAAAAAGGCCTGGGAGCCTTCCCACGCCATTGCCGCTGAAACCGGCGCCGTCTATCCACACACGATCCGGGCAGATAAAAAAGGCTACGTCTGGTTCACGCTGGCCGGTTCCGAACATGTTGCGCGACTGGACATCAAATCCGGCAACTTTGATGTGATCGACCTGCCCCATGCCGTGTCTGGCGGCATCGCCGGCGGCACCCAGCCTTATGGCATCGACATTAATCCGGTTGACGACACCATGTGGTACAGCCGTCTGTTCGGCGACAAAATTGGCCACGTGAATCCCGACACGCTGGAGATCACAGAGTACGATTCACCGGTTCGCGGCCCCCGGCGCATGCGTTTCGATGAGAATGGCATCCTCTGGGTCACCGGCTATTCTGAGGGTGAACTTGCACGGGTAGATGTGACCAAGGGCTTCGACAGCAAAGTTTATGAGATGCCCGAGTTTGCGGAAGGTTTTCGCCCTGCGCCTTACGCCCTGGGTGTACACCCGGATACTCAGGACATCTGGATCAACGAGAACATGACGGACAGGATCTTCCGGTTTATTCCCGCTGAGGAACGATTTGTCGTTTATCCGCTACCACTATCAGGCTCGTATTCACGAGATATGACATTCAGTGCGGAGGGACGAGTGTGTCTGTCAAACAACCCGATTCCGCCGCCCGCGTTAGAAGGTGCCATGCTGGAAATACTCTGTATTGACCCGACATACGATCCAACAACCCCGGCGATGATCAGTTCTACACAGAACTGATTGTCTGCAAGCCCGTTTTTGCACTAGAGTCCGCGCCATTATGTTAATCCTTGGTATCGAAACCTCCTGCGACGAAACGGGCCTTGCTGTTTATGACACCGAACAGGGCCTGCTCAGCGAAGCGTTGTACAGCCAGATTGACCTGCACGCGGACTACGGCGGGGTTGTACCTGAACTCGCGTCCCGGGATCACATCCGCAAAATAACCCCGATGACCCACCAGGTATTAGACGCAGCAGGTAAAACTCTTGCTGATCTGGATGGCATCGCATACACCGCAGGGCCAGGGCTTATGGGTGCACTACTGGTCGGCGCCACGTTCGGCCGCAGCCTCGCCTGGGCCCTGGGTATCGAAGCGATTGGTGTCCACCATATGGAAGCGCACCTGCTTGCGCCGCTGCTTGCACCCTCTCAGGGTCAGGATGCAGCGCCACAACTACCTTTTCTGGCGCTGCTTGTGTCTGGCGGACATACGCAGCTGGTCAGGGTCGCTGGCCTTGGCAATTACGAAATTCTGGGCGAATCTGTCGATGACGCTGCCGGAGAAGCTTTCGATAAAGCCGCCAAAATGATGGACCTGGGTTACCCCGGCGGCCCTGCAATTGCGGCAGCAGCGACCAGAGGTGACACAAAACGCTTCACGTTCCCGCGTCCAATGACCGATCGTCCGGGACTGGACTTCAGCTTCAGCGGCCTGAAAACATTCACGTTGAATACCGTTGCTGCAACCCAGCCCCTGTCTGACCAGGACATCGCCGATATTGCAGCTGCTTTCGAAGAAGCGGTGGTAGATACGTTATTCATCAAGTGCAAACGGGCCGTTAAACAGACGGGTATTAAAGATCTGGTGATGGCCGGCGGGGTCAGCGCAAACAAAGCGCTGCGCCACAAACTGGCTCACGAACTCGATGCCAACGTGCACTATGCACCGGACGCCTTGTGTACCGATAACGGGGCGATGATCGCTTTTGCAGGTGCGTTGCGGCTGCTGGGCAAACAGAGCAACGACCTTGCCATCAACACAAAACCGCGCTGGCCAATAATTGAACTGGCTTCGATCGACAACGGCGTTGAGCTGCTCGCTCAAACGGCCCGCTCCGCTTAGATAAACTTACTGACGGTAAACTGATGGATCAAACAAATACGGACACTGTCTATGTGCGCAATCTTGTTTTCAAGACCATCATCGGCGTGCTCCCGCACGAACGTGACACACCGCAGCCGGTTTGCATTTCTCTCGAGTTGACCGTCGATACGGCACCCGCAGCCGAATCAAAAGATTTAGGCGACACCCTCGACTATGCATTTCTCGCGGAAGCGGTTGAGGCGTTGGCCATCGAACAGCAGTGCCTACTGGTGGAGACGCTGGCGCAACAGATTGCTGACCTTGCGCTTGCACAACCCCTGGTACAGGCCGTACGGGTTAATGTCGGCAAACCAGACGCGCTGCAAAAGGCTGAGCAGGTGGGCGTTGAGATCTATCGCCGACGCGCCTGATCCAGCCACTCGCAACGCGCCTTAAACAGTGCGTTACCATAAGCCTTACCGCTGAGCCCCTCTGCCTCAACCTGCACCGCACGCCAGCCTTCTCCCAACTGCTGCAGCGTGTCTTTCTGCAGCTGGTCAAACTGCAGCCAGTCCAGCAGCCTGAGCAGACGGACATTGTCGTGGTTAACCTGCAGGGCCTGCATCGCCGTCGCAAGATGCGTCACCTCAACAGTGTGCCATTGCGCAATGATATCTGCATAACTGAGTCGATCTGCGGCTATCTGCTGATAACGACCGGGTACTTTCAAACGAACACCAAGCGTTTCGAATTCAGCCTCAGCAAGCGGCAGCTCAGCGTAGCGATACACGGCATCGTCACGCTCAAATCGGACCGATCGGCCGAGCAGTTCAGGCATCCAGAATTCCAACGCGGCAACCTGGCCAAGCAGATTAAAAAAATGTTCAGGCGCCACCGCATAAAGCGCTTTTTCCGTTTCCTGCCAGACCCTTTCTGCCGAGAGCGAAGTCAGCTCTCCCGCCTCACACATCTGCTGCATCAGCTGCAGGGTCTCGGGGGCAACTGAGAAATCAGGCAGTTGTGCGGCAAATCGAGCCACACGGAAAACCCGCAGTGGATCCTCCGCAAAAGCAGGCGACACATGCCGAAGTATTCGCGCGGCAAGATCTGCTGCCCCGCCAAAAGGATCAATCAATTCACCCTGCGCATCTTGGGCAATTGCATTGATGGTCAGATCTCGCCGTTGCAGATCTTCTTCCAGCGTCACGTCGGGACTGGCGTTGACCACAAATCCGCGATGACCATGGCCTTGCTTCCGCTCGGTACGAGCCAAGGCATATTCTTCGTGGGTATCCGGGTGCAGGAATACCGGAAAGTCTCGTCCCACCTGAGTAAAACCCAGCGCCAGCATCTGGGCTACCGAACTGTTCACCACAACCCAATCGTTGTCGCCGACGGCACGCCCAAGCAATCCATCCCTTACGGCACCGCCGACAAGATAGGTTTCCAGCTCACCCGTCATGTTGTCTTTCTGCGCCATCTCAGCTGACCGCTTGCACCGTTGTTAACTCGGCGGTTTCCAGACAGTACGCGGTTAAATGGCGTCCCCAGACGCACCCTGTATCCAGTGCAATCATGTCATCTCGCTCGGTCACACCTTCCAGTGCCGCCCAGTGACCAAACAACAGTCTCATGGCGCCCTCATCATCCGCTGCGCGGGGGAACAGTTTAAACCAGGGCACCCAACCCGCTGGGGCTTCAGCTATTACACCCTTGTGACTGAAATCTAAACACCCTTCAGGGTTTACCAGGCGCATGCGGGTGAAATAGTTGGCCAGCAATCGATAACGCGGCAACCCGCTTAATTCGGATTGCCAGCAGTTGGGTTCATTGCCGTATAAACCCGTGAAAAATTTTTTCGCACTCACCTGCGCATTTTCATCGCGCAGAACTTTCTCAACTTCATCAGCAAAACCCCTGGCACGCTCTAAGCTCCAGATATGCGGAATACCGGCATGGGTCATGGTGCAGTTCAACAACGGGTCGTGATGCAGCATCTTCTGCTGGCATAACCAGCTTGCCAGATGCTCTACATCAGCCGCCGCAAGCAAGCTCTCGAAGGTGTCAGAGCGACTGCTCTTATGCCCACCAAAGTAGATGGCAAGAAAATGTAATTCGTGATTGCCCAGCACTATCTCAACTTGAGCGGACATCGATTCTACCAACCGAAGTACTTCCAGCGAATGAGGACCACGATTAATCAGATCGCCCACTAACCAGAGCCGGTCTTTGGAACCAAAGTTTATGCGCTCTAACAGGCGCTCAAACTCGCGCAGACACCCCTGCACATCTCCCACGGCATAAGTGGCCAAGGTTCAGTGCACCAGATTAGGTATGGACAGGGAGAACGCAGCAATAGGCACATTGAAAGAAGCCTGGTTGGTGTCGCGAAAAGTATATGCCCCCTGCATGGCACCCACCGGTGTCTTGAGAATTGCACCGCTGGTGTATTCAAAAGATTCACCCGGTGCCAGCAAAGGTTGTTTGCCAACCACACCCTCACCGCGCACTTCTTCCACCTCACCACTGGCATCTGTGATGATCCAATGTCTGCTCATGAGTTGTGCTGATTGCGTGCCGTTGTTAGTGATGGTGATGGTATAAGCAAAAACAAATCGCTCTTCCGTCGGATCAGACTGGGCCTCTACATAATGGGTGACCACGGACACTTCAACCTGATTCATAAACGCCTACTACTCACTGAATTTTTATTCGGATAACAAATTTTTATCGTTTGCCTGGGTGGCCACCTGCCTTGCCAGCATGACGTATTCGTCGCGGGCCACGTTATCAGCGCGCAGACCCGGATCCAGGTCGATGGTCGACCAATCGAGCTCCAGCACTTTCAACGAGTTGGACAGCCGTTTACGCCGCCCGGAAAACGCCAGTCTTAACACTCTGTCGAGAACCGCCAGGTCCACGCCGGCATCCACATTCTTTCTCGGAATCAGACGTATGATACTGGACCAGACCTTAGGCGGTGGACTGAACGCCTCAGGCCCCACGTCGAAAACGTGCCCAACGTCAAACCGCAGTTGCACCATGACACTGAGTCTGCCCCAGGCTTTGGTGCCGGGCAAGGCGCTCAGACGTTCAGCCATCTCCCGCTGCAACATGAAATGCATATCCGCTATCTGCCCTGGCTGGGCTTCTACAAACTGGGTCAGGGTAGCAAGCAGCGGAGACGAAATGTTGTACGGCAGATTACCGAGCAATCGCCAGGGCACATCGCCATCCAGAATTTCTTTAAGATTCACACGCAAGACGTCATCAACAATGACCTGCAGATTCGGATGCCTTGCACGCAGCATTGGCGCCAGATCCCGATCAATCTCGACAGCGCGATACAACGCTGGGGTGTCTGCCAACAGGTCGGTTAGCGCGCCATGACCAGGACCAATCTCAAACAGATGGTCCTTGGCTGTCACTCCTACGGCACGCACAATATTCTGCAACACACCCTGGTCGGTTAGAAAGTGTTGCCCAAATCGTTTACGCGCGCGCATGGAATCTTACTGACGCTGACATCAGGCAATCATTGTTTCGGTAAGCACGCCGGCCAACTTAAGCGCAGCCGCCATACTGCCGGTATCAACAGCGTCAGTGCCGGCCAGATCCAAAGCAGTACCGTGGTCTACCGACGTACGCACAAAGGGCAGACCCAGAGTAACGTTAACCGCCTCGCCGAACCCCGCGTACTTCAGCACCGGCAAACCCTGATCGTGAAACATGGCCATCACAGCATCAGCGTCTTTGAGATGTCGAGGGGTAAACAACGTATCCGCCGGCAGGGGACCGCTTAACCTGAGCCCCTGTCCGCGCAGACTTTCCAGTACAGGGGTAATCGTCTCTATTTCTTCGCGACCCAGATGCCCGCTCTCTCCCGCATGCGGGTTCAACCCGGCAACCAGAATATGCGGATCCTGTATGCCAAAAAACTTCTGTAACCCTGCGTTGAGGATTGTTAAGCGGCGCGCAAGCAGCGCCTTTGTCAGTGAGGTTGGCACCTGGCTCAAGGGGACATGAGTGGTCGCCAGCGCAACTCGCAGCTCACCAGCTACCAGCAACATGACAACATCATCAGCACCCGCGGCATCAGCGAGGTATTCTGTATGCCCGCTGAAGGCGATGCCTGCCTCATTAACAATAGACTTCTGCATCGGTCCGGTGACCAGGCCTGTGTACATCCCCTCCAGGCACCCTTGAATGGCCGCATCCAGAGCGGCGAGCACGCCTGCAACATTGCCACAGTCCAACTGACCAGGTATCGCAGGATTAGCCAGGGGTATATGACGCACCGTGAGGTGGCTCGCAGCACAACTGGGCTGGGCGTGGTTGTCATCAATGGTCAGGGGTAAAGCGAGCTGCTGAGCCCTGGCAGCCAGCATCTGCGCATCAGCCAGTACTACCCAGCCCTGCGCGCGTTTGTGCTGAGCCAGCCGAATGACCAGGTCCGGGCCAATGCCGGCAGGCTCTCCAGGCGTTATCGCTAACATATCCTCACACGCAAAGCCTAGAGACGAACTTCAACAAAGGCTTCATCGCGGATTTCTTTCAACCATTCCTGCTGCTCTTCTTCAAAGCGGCGTTTGTGCAGGATTTCGACGGCCATATTCTCGCGAGCCTCATCGCTCATATCTTCTTCGCGGCGATCCAGTACCTGCAGGATGTGCCAGCCAAACTGCGTAAGGAACGGCTCGCTCATACCGCCTTTGGCCGTGCGTTCCATAATTTCCCCAAACTGACCCACAAACTGATCAGGTGATGCCCATCCCAGATCGCCACCATTCAAAGCACTGGCGGGATCCTGCGAGTGTTCTTTTGCCAGCTCCGCAAAGTCGGCCCCTTCGTCTAACTGACGTTTGATGTCCTGTATCAGGGCCACGGTTTCTTCCGGGGAGCGGATCTCTGAAGGTTGCACCAGAATATGACGCACATTGGTTTCAACAACTTTCTGCACACCCGCGCCACGTCTTTCCAACAGCTTGATAATATGGATTGCACCTGAGGTTTTGATAGGGTCGGCAATGCCATCCACGTCAAGCTCAAGCACCTGCTCAGCAAACAGGCTGGGGAGCTCACCTGCTTTACGCCAACCCAGATCACCACCTTCTAAAGCCCGGCTGCTGGACGACTTGGCAATCGCCATCTGTGCAAAGTCGGCACCTTCACGCAGCTGTTTAACAATATCGCTCGCTTCAGCCAACGCCGCGTCTACCACCTCTTCCGAAGCACGCTCTTCTAACGACAGTAATATATGGCCGACGCGATACTCATCTGAAAACATTTCTTTATAAAACGGCGAATTGAGCAGGCCCTCAACTTCCTGATCGGTAATCGAAATTCTGCGATTGATCAGATTTCGCTGCAGCCGGGTAATAGCCATCTCGGTGCGTATCTCTTCGCGAAACTCTCGATAGCTGACACCATCTGCCGCAAGCGCCTGCTGAAACTGCTCAAGGGACATGTTGTTGCCCTGTGCAAAGGACATGACCGCTCTGGTCAGAGTTTCATCATCTATGCGGATACCGCGACGCTCGGCCTCCTGCTTCTGAATGCTTTCCAGAATCAGTCGCTCCATGATCTGGCTGATCAGGATGTCGTTGGGTGGCATCGCGGCATTCTGTGACTGCATCTGCCGAATCACCTGGTCGTATCGACTCTTTAACTCAGAGGCGAGCACCACATCATCGTCTACCACCGCCACAATGCCTTCAATTTCTCTGTACACGGCATGGCTGTTGGCCGGCACGTAAAGTAGGGCCGCGCCAATGACGCACACCAGTATTGTTGTCAGGACCTTATGCATTTTCGCAGATACCTCCAGGGGCAAATCCATCATGGGTGAATCCATGTATCACGTTTGCCGTACGCAAATTTTTATTTAGTGAAATAGTCGCTGGCTTCAGGGGTGCGATAACCGCGAATACCCCGCTCAAGCACAGATTCTACCTGAGTACCGAAGCCAGCAAGGCCTTTAAATACAATTTGTAGAAACACGCCATTGTCTGCTTCGACGTTTTCAAAATTCTGTGCGGTTGGGCTGTCGAGGAAACGACGCGCCATCAGGCGAACCTTCAGACAGCAATCAGCGTATTCCACGCCACCAAACGCTTCTATGGTACGACCACTTTCCAGATCATAGTTCCATCGTGCCAGAATGGAATAGTGCTGCGACACTGGCCAGTAAAAGGACAGATCGGTTTGCTCTATGTTCTGATCGAACCGGTTACGGTAACCCAGGTTGAAAATATGGCGGGAATCACGTTGATACGAAAGCCCAGCACCGCCTTCTTCCACTTTATTTTCATGCGGATCCCAGACCATGTTACCCGTGATTTTCCAGTTGCCATAAATCGAAGCGGCGGTTTCCGCGGCAATAGCCGATGAGCTGTCCAGATCAGCTTCCGTGGGCGCGCCGGAGAGGGTCACCTCGCGATCATCAAAATAGAAGATCTCACCCACGCTGAAGCGGAAATACTCGCGCCCGGTACTGGTGGCAAGAAAGCGCGTAGTGACCCCAGCAGAAATCTGATCTGCATCGCCGATGCGATCAAGGCCGGAGAAGCGGTTGTCGCGAAACAGCTGCGAATAGCCAAAGGTCAGGCGTGACGCGTCAAATAAAGGTAGCGCTGCCTGCTCATCAAATTCCTGCCACAGATAAAACAGACGTGGCTCAAGGGTTTGGATCAGATCATGGCCGAACCAGTTCAGTGGCCGCTCAAAAAACAGACCGCCATCTACCGACGCCACACCAATATTACGATCAGGGCTGTCATCCAGCAGGACACCACCGACAACCAGGTCGGACTGCTCAAGATCGTAACGTGTATAGCGATAGCCGCCTGTGAGATTGAGAAACCCGTAGGGCTGCTGCAGTGACATGCGTAATCTCGGCTCGAGATGTGTGCGCTGGCCGGTAAACGCCTGGATGCCCACCAAACCGTCGGTGTCACGGTCAAAATCTGACCACTTCGCGCCAAGACTGAATTCCAGCGGTCCGGCAATGGGCGTTGTATATACCGCTTCAAGCTCAGGTAAGCGCTGGTAATCGTCGATGACCGACTCATCAAGGCGCTGAAATCGCTGCGCCCATAAGCGCATGAATAAACCGCCCTGGTTGTACTGTATTTCACCTTTACGTTCGAGCTCCCGGCGACTGGAAACGCCCAGATCGGAGCCAAGATCGCGGAAATAATCCCGGTCACTGACACTGGTGTAATCAATCAGGGTGCGGAATGCGCCGATCTGGCCCTGGTGATCTATCGCCCCCAGCCATCTGTCAGCTGAATCAAAAGGACCAAGCACCGCGGTGCCGCCAGCCTCGTCAAAATCATCACGGTTAACTTCGCCGTTATAGAGGTTGTCACTGGGCAGAAATCCCCCGCTGAGCGTTGTGTACTGCCATGCAGACATCTGTCGCAATTCCAGTTCCGCTCCGGCACCGCGTTCGCTGATATAACGTGGAATCAGCGTAGCGTCGTAGTTTGGGGCCAGGTTGAAATAATAGGGCACGGCAACATCAACGCCGTCTTCATCTGAATAACCCAAATTCGGAAACAGAAACCCGGACAGGCGCTGATCGGAAACCGGAAACTGCAGGCGCGGTGTATAGAAAACGGGTACTGACTTTAATTTCAATACAGCATGTTTCGCCGTCCCGAACACGGCATCCTTTTCGATTACCAGCTCTTTGGTTTGCAGTACCCAGCCGTTATTGCCCGGCTCACAGCGAGTGAACTGATTACCCTGCAAGGTCAGATCGCCGGCATCGTTCTGCAACAGATTTGACGCCTGACCCCGCAAATTAGCATCGGTAAGAATAAACTGGGTCCCACTGAGATCTGCCTGCTTGGTGTTCAGATGCACAGTGGCCTGGGCGCCCTGCATGATCAAGCCGGGTTGGTCCAGTTTCAGCCCCTGGGGAAATTCCACAATCTGCGAGGGGTAGTCTAGCTGAGCAACTGGCGAACGAATCAGCCGATTGCCCTGCTCGATAGTCACATTCCCTACCATGCTGGCGCTTTGACCAACAATACTGGAGAGGCCATCGGCAAGGATGACAACAGGCTGTGTTTCATCATCCGCATCCAGCGGCAGTGTAAAAGCGCGCTCCTGATAGCTGCCAGGGCAAATACCACCGCCATCGCTGACCACATACAGTGATTCGGCAAGATCCTCAGACAGACGATGTTCCGGATCTGTCGGCCGCGGCACGCTGGGGGTGTACCAGTCTTCGGGGCGATTGCTCAAACCGGTCACAGGGTCCGTATTCGCCTCGATAGGCTCAGCGTTGCGCGCCGGGACAGCTGGATCTTCGGGGACTGAGTTCACCTTGGGTGGCGGCGGCACCTGTATAACCGGCGCTGCGATGGGGGCGACCTGGTTCCAGGTAAAAGGCGGTACTTCGTCGCTGTAAGGATCACAATCCCAGCCATCACCGCTGGCATTGGGTACACACAGGTGATCTGCACCCGATGCAGCCCAGATCGGTGCGGTAAAACACAGAGCCAACAGCTTGAGCAGATTCGTAGCGCGATGACAGCGACGGGTAAATTCCATGCGCGCATCATAATGAATTGCTCGCCGGGTTATAATGCGCAGGTGGAAGAAAACCTGATATCAAAAAGCGCCATTAAATGGTGTCGAACTGCCCTGAATCTGACCGCTGAGCAATCTATGCAGCTTACCGCGCTGCGCGTGGAGGCCAGTCATCGCAGCTTTTACCGGGTTGAGTCGCCAACCCGCAGCGATACCCTGGTGCTGATGTTGAGCCCGCCGGCGCTGGAGAACAACGATCAGTTTCTACGCCTGGCGACGGTGTTCGGCAACCACCATCTGCCGGTGCCCCAGGTCTTCAGCACCAACCTCACCAGCGGTTTTTTCCTGATGCAGGATCTTGGCTCACAACACCTGCAGGAATTGTATGGCACCGCCACAGAAACGCCCGCGCTGACGGCGGCGATAGAAACCCTGGTGCAACTCTCGACAGTAGACGATCCGGCGATACCACCCTATACCGCTGAACGACTGACAACCGAGCTTGGCCTGTTCGACGAATGGTTTGTGCAGAAATTTTTACAGCAGCAACTTGATGAAGCCACTTTCCGCAGCATCTGCTCACAGCTGGTGGACAGTGCCGAGCAACAACCTAAAAGTTGCGTGCATCGTGATTACCATTGTCGCAACCTGCTGTATCAGAACGGCCGCCTGGGCATTGTCGATTTCCAGGACGCATTACACGGCCCCGTTCTATATGACATCGCCTCATTATTAAGAGATTGTTACCACACCTTCGATGAAGCGAAAATTGAGCAATGGCTGCATCAATTCCTCGACTTAACCCCTGCGCTTAACACGCTGCCGTACACACAGGTGAAGCAGTGGTTTGACTACATGGCGATTCAAAGACAACTGAAGGCGATTGGTATTTTTGCACGCCTGCATCTACGTGACCATAAATCCAGCCATCTGTCGGAGATAGGCCCACTGCTTCAGCGCCTGCTTGATCTCACTGCACAATACAGCGAACTTGAGGATCTCAACGCGCAATTAAAACAGGTGCACACATGGGCGCAGGCTCACTCGGAGCTGTTTTGAAAATCCTCGCCCGGAATGCAACGCGCGTATGAAAGCTATGATCCTCGCCGCGGGTAAAGGGACACGCCTGGCGCCGCTGACAGATACCACACCTAAACCCCTGCTGGAACTCGCTGGCAAACCGCTTATTGTCTGGCAGATAGAAGCCCTCGCCGCGGCGGGTGTACAACAGGTTGTTATTAATCTGCATCACCTGGGCCAGCAAATCAGCAACACGCTGGGAGACGGCAGCGGCTATGGTGTAGACATCTGTTACAGCCAGGAGCCGGAGTTGCTGGAAACAGGCGGTGGCATCATTAACGCGCTGCCCCTGCTTGGCGATGAACCGTTCTGGTTACTCAATGGTGATATCTGGACAGATTTTGATTTCAGTCAGCTGCCACAGAACCTGCCGGAAAATCGACCCGTTCACATTGTGCTCACCGACAAACCCGCGAATCGTACAAGTGGTGATTTCACATACCAGGATGGCCAGGTTACCGGCCGCGGCGGCGAGTACGTGTACTGCGGCATTGCCGTTATCAACCCACAGCTGTTCAAGGGCCAGGCGACCCGGCATTTCTCTTTTCGCGACACGCTGTTTGCCCTGATCAGGTCCGGCAAACTCGGTGCTCAGATACATGCAGGGCGCTGGCATGACATCGGCACGCTGGACGAATATCACCACCTCAAAGCCAGGCTCACCGCCACATAAAGCGCATTTCAAGCAGGTCCCGCGGGATGACCTATGCTTAACAGGTTATGCAATCACATCTGTTATTTAATCAGTGGTTTGGCAAGGCTGTAGGCGCAACCTGCGCTGTCATCTGGGCACCTGCCGACCCGCTCTGGCTGTCTGTTGCCATAATTTGCGGCATCGGCCTGGGTCATCTTTACGACCATTGGGCACACCTGCATCATGACGATGATCAGGCGACACTGAGCCGAATTGGCCAACGTCACCAGACACACAGATCACCTCACCTGGAGTATCTGTTTGCAGGCCTCGGCCGCATTGCCAAAGCTGCCGGCCAGGTACAACCAGAACACATCGCCTATACCGAAAAGGTGATGACGCAGATGGGCCTGACAGTGCCGGTGCGACAACAGGCCAAAGCCTGGTTCCGAGATGGTAAAAACAGCAACTTTCCAATCCAGGCACTCTCCCGCGAGTGTCTGCAACCCACTGAACAGGGCTCGGCATCACGGCAGAGCATGTTGCGCTGCTTTTGCACACTGGTCGCCATAGAACCCTCTGATGCCGCTCTGTCGCAACTGAAACTGTTAGGCGGCTATCTCGGCTTTGCGCCGAATCGAGTAGCACGTGAGTATGGCGATATCGCCAGCCGCTACCAGAGACAGACCTCAAAACAGGACAAACCATCGGCAAAGACGGATCAGAACGCTGCACCCGATCCCGCGTTAAAGGCGGCGTATGCCCTGCTGCAGGTTGATACAAAGGCCACCTTTGATAGGGTCAAACACGCTTATCGTCAGCAGGTGAGTCGCAGTCATCCCGATAAATTAGCGGCCAACGCCACCCCGGCAGACAAGCAGGCGGCGCAGGATAAAATGGTGGCCCTGCGCAATGCACTGGAGCTGATCAAAGCCCACTCTATCTAAGTGCCACCTATCTGACGCTTGAACCAGCCGCGGATTCTTCGTTCCACAGTTGCATCAAACCTTGGCGCCGTCGAGGCCGGCAGAAGATGCAACTCATATCCACCCAACAAGGGTAATTCGTCAGGCCAGCCCTGCGGAAACTCCTGAAGTATCAGCGTGGGCAGTCCTGCCGCCTGCCAGCTGTTTCGATACTCAACAGTGACCCGGCTGGTTTCAGATACAGGAAGATTTAAATAGATCCAGGCGCCTGCTGCGTCTACCTGCAGGTTACGCAGCGCTTCACAGGTCAGGCCTTCGCAAACCAGGACAAGTGGCGCTTGCTGAGACAACTCCGCCAGCGCCGCAAGCGCTTGCTCAGCCGGATCAGCAAGGCCATCAAGGTTGAAGAAAAAAGTCTGCCAGCCATGCCGGGGCAGAACGGTGCGCAGATGCGCCAGGTGATGCAGACCGTTTAATCCAGCCTGTTCAGACGCTAACAGCACTACGCTACCCTTCACAGGACCGCTGGGCGGTCGCTTTGCTATCCAGCGTTGCTGGCCTGCAAAATCAAACCAGAGCAACTCTTCAACACCGCGAAACGTCTCTCCGCGTTGCATCAGGGTTGTAAGCGAACTGCTGCGCTGAGTCACCTCCGGGTCAGGTGGCGCCTCCTCCGCCAGAACAGATACTGTCCAACCCGTCAGAAACAGTGCCAGAGCGGATAAATTCAATTTCTTCATAGGCTAAGTATAGGAAGCCGTTTAGAATATGCCGCTTATGGAACCAATAATTGCCCCTTCTATCTTAGCCGCCGACTTCTCCCGCCTGGGCGAAGAAGTCAGTAACGTCCTGCACGCTGGTGCGGACATGATCCACTTTGATGTGATGGATAACCATTACGTCCCGAACCTGAGTGTCGGGCCACTTGTCCTTCAATCATTACGTAAAGCGGGCATTAATGACCCGGTTGATGTCCACCTGATGGTTAAACCCGTGGATCGTCTTGTTGAAGAATTTCTGGACTCTCAACCCGCCTATATCTCTGTACATCCGGAGTCTACCGAGCACCTGCACCGCACCCTGGCAATGATACGCGCAGGCAAAGCCAAAGCAGGTCTTGTTCTGAACCCGGCTACTCCACTGGAAGTGTTAGACGAAGTTCTCGACTGTATAGACCTGGTACTGATCATGTCGGTGAATCCGGGTTTTGGCGGGCAGAGCTTCATCCCATCTTCTCTAACCAAGCTTGCACGAGTGAAAAGTATCATCGACAAGGCAGATCACGAGATTCGACTGCAGATTGACGGCGGCATCAAACCCAGCAACATCGGCGCGGCGGCAGCCGCCGGCGCAGACACGTTTGTTGCGGGTACGGCTATCTTTGCAAGCCCGGATTACGCGGCAACGATCGCAGAAATGCGCCAACAGATCGCGCTGGCGACCAGGGTTTAAGAGCAGACATTTTGGACGTCTGGTCAGGCTATGAAGGTTATCTGTTCGATCTGGACGGCACTCTGGTTGACACTGCTCCGGACATCAATGCAGCGCTTAACGTCAGCCTGCACAACGCCGGCCTTGATAGTGTGGATATCAGCCTTACAAGACACTGGGTAGGCCACGGCTCCCGCACGCTGATTAGTCAGGCACTGGCTTATCTGGCGCAACCCGAGCACGACATAGAACCATTGTTGGAAGATTTTCTACACCACTACCGCCACAACCTGGCAACCCATAGCCAGATTTACCCCGGTGTTGAGCAAACCCTTAAACAACTGAAAACCAGCGGTACCAAGCTTGCTGTAGTGACTAATAAACTGGCCGAACTGAGCGAGCCTCTGTTGGCGGATATTGGCCTGGCCACGTATTTTGATCTGATTGTCAGTGGTGACACAGCCAATGCGCCCAAGCCCGACCCGGCGCCAGTGCGACTTTGTTTACAGGCGTTTGGCTTAACCGCCAGACAAACTCTGTTTGTGGGAGATTCTGATACCGACGTCAACGCTGCGCTCGCGGCCGGCGTAGACGTCGTCTGCGTGCGAGATGGCTACAACCACGGTGTGGACGTTACTACCCTGGGTGCAACAGGTGTTATCGACAGCTTTTTGGAATTGTTAGACTGAAAGGTCGCTGGCGCTGCCACCAAACAGATTGGCAAACATCAGTTGTAGCGACGCCCGCAGATTGCTGCGCAGGGCGCGCACTGACTGCCCGGGACGGGTGACATGACCACTATCACCTTTGTCCATGTCGTTTATCAGTAAGGAGGCCATGCCATGCACTCCCGACCAGACAACACCACCTAACAGCACCACATCCTGGGCGAGGTTTTTGTCGTCGATCAACTCCTGCAACAACTCCTGCACCGGCTGATAAGAGCCTTCAGCAGCCACCCGCAGCATTTCATACTCCGAGAAATCACCCAGCACCGAGCCAAACATCAGTCGATAGGCTGTCGGATTTTCCAGCGCGAAGCCAATATACGTTTCACCCAGCTGGATAAAACGCTCATCCGTTGAGCCACCGGAGTGCAGCGCTTTCAGCGTGCGCTCCTGCAGTTGTTCAAAACCCTGAGTCGCCAGCGCCGCAAGCAGACATTGTTTAGTTGGAAAATGACGATAGGGGGCGGTGGGAGATACGCCAGCTTCACGCGCCAGAGCCCGCAGGCTGAGCTTTTCCGTGCCACCCGCTTCTATATGCTGCACGGCCAGCGCCATCAAGGTAGCGGGCAATTCACCGTGGTGATAGCCAGCCTTGGATTCAATCTGAGTGTCACCACTCATGACAGCTTACTGGCCTGTTTTTTAGGTACATCTCGCTCACCACCTTTGTCTACTGCGATTATTAGCCGAACGGTGCAGTTCTGCACGCGCTATTACCGCTGTTTTCACGCATGATTCACTAAAGCTATGTTGACATCGCTTACATAAAAGTTAGCATTGCAAACAATGTTAGCGATGTAAACATCGGATTTGGAGTACAACCGTGCACGCACGAACGTTTCGACGGAATTTCTCAGACAACTGGCGCCGTATCAGCCTCATCGCCGCACTGGCCATCCTCTTTCAAGTGGGCCTGTTGATATTCGCCAGCTCAGCCCATGCCGAGATCAACGTCAGCGTTTTTAATGTGGTTGCCGAGCAAAGCTACCAGTCCAATCGCGTTTACGCAGGCCGCACAGCGGCCACACGGGCAGCGGAACTGGGATTCAAGCGTGGTGGCGAGATTACCGAGATGCAGGTGGATCAGGGGGATGTTGTGGCTAAGGGTGACACCCTGGCCAAACTCGACACAGCGTCCATTAATGCACAGCTGACACAAGCTGCCGCCGAGGTATCTCTTGCGCGCGCAAATCTCGAGGCGCTGGTCGCTGAAGCAGAACTGGCAACCAACACGGAACAGCGTTTCCGCACCCTGCGTGAGCAAGGCCACGCTTCGGTTCAGGTTTATGACGAGACGCGACTGACGTTGCGCGCCAAACAAGCACAGCTCAACGTCGCCCGCGCCAATCTGGAACGCGCTCTGGCAGAACAACAAAGCGTGGAAGTTGAACTGCGCGAAGCTGTGATCCGAGCACCCTTCCCAGGCACGATTCAGGCGCGCTACGTAGATGAAGGCACACAGATTCGTTCCGGCGAGGCGGCTCTGCGCCTGGTGGAAGATGCACACCGGGAAGCCCACGTCGGCATCCCCGCAGACATCGCCAAACGCATGATGCCGGGACAAACCTATCAGGTGAGCTGGCAGAACCAGACCTACGCAGCCAGCCTCGATGCGGTGCTACCGGAAGTAGATCCCGCCACGCGAACTTTAACCGCAGTATTTACGCTCGCCGGTATCGATATACCGTTGGGTTCCACCGTGGAGGTAGCAATCAACGAGGCTGTCGACGCTCCCGGTTTCTGGCTGCCTTTGAGCGCGCTAACAGAAGCTGACAGGGGCCTGTGGGGGGTGTACGTCGTTAACGCAGAACAGATTGTTGAGCGTCGCCTGATTGAAATTGTACACAGCGAAGCAGATCGCGTGTTTGTTCGAGGCACACTAAAGACAGACGACCGGGTTGTTGCCACCGGAGTCCAGCGTATCGTCCCAGGTCAGGTTGTTAACCCAGTGGCAATCACGCAGGTGAGCTATGCGGGCTAACGCGTTTTACGCCAATCCGCGTCTCGCGGCACTGCTTGTACTGTTCATTATCGTGATGGGCGGCATGGCTTACAACAGCCTGGCACGACAGGAAGACCCGACCATGACCGAGCGTTGGTCCAGGGTGAATACATTTCTGGCAGGCGCAACTGCTCAGCGGATGGAATCTCTGGTCAGTGAACCGATTGAAACCGCGCTGCGCGAAGTGCCGGAGATCAAGGAAATCTCTTCCACGTCAAAAGCCGGCTTATCAGTGGTCAGCGTGGAGCTTTATGACAGCATCGAAGCCCATCAGGTGGACGCCATCTGGTCCGAGGTCCGCGACAAGTTAGGCGAAGTGAGCGCCACCTTACCCACCGGCAGCAGCGAGCCGGAACTGATCATTAATAAACCGCTGGCATCGACCATGATCATCGCCCTGCGCTGGCTGCAGGACTCACCGATGCAGCAGGGCATTTTGTCACGCCTGGCTGAATCCCTGCGTCTTAAGCTGGCCAACATGCCAGGCACCGAAATTGCGGAATCCTGGGGAGATGCCGAAGAAGAACTACTGATCTCTATCGACCCTTACAAACTGGCCAGCGCCAATATATCCGCCGCGCAGGTGGCTGCCAGTATCCGTTCGGCAGATACCAAATTACCCTCCGGGCGACTGCGATCCAACACCACCGATATGCTGGTTGAAGTAGAGGCTGAACTCTCCTCGCCGGAGCGTATCGCTCGCATTCCGTTAGCGATTACACCCAGTGGCAACGTCCTGCGGGTATCTGATGTCGCGCAGGTACAGAAGTCACAGGTAAACCCACCTGACTCCCTGGCGTTCAACGGCGACGAACAGGTGGTGCTGGTGAACGCCAAGATGCAGGGTGGGCTGCAGGTTGAAAGCTGGACTGAAAACGCGCTTGAAGTGGTCAGCAGATTCAAGGCATCCCTGCCCGGCGAAATTGGTTTAGATATCGTTTACAACCAGAATCAGTACACCGGCGAGCGCATGCAGTCTTTAGGTACAAACCTGATGTTTGCACTGGTCATCGTGATGCTGGTTCTGGTCTGGTTCATGGGCGTGCGCTCGGCGTTTACCGTGGGCATTGCGTTGCCACTATCCGGTGGCATGGTGCTCCTCGGCATGCAGCTGATGGATATCCCTTTGCATCAGATGTCGGTTACCGGCCTGATCATTTCCCTGGGACTACTGATTGATAACGCCATTGTTGTGGTTGAAGACTACAAATTGCGCCGCAGACACGGCGAAGACATTCCAGAAGCCATCAGCAAAGCCATTAAACACCTGCTGATCCCGCTGGGCGCGTCCACTGCAACCACCGTGTTTGCGTTTATGCCTATCGCCCTGGCACCGGGCGGCGTCGGCGACTTTACCGGCACCATCGGTGTCACCGTGGCACTGTCTGTCACCAGTTCATTTATCCTGGCAATGACCATCGTGCCAACGGTTGCCGGGTTCCTGGAAAATAAATGGCCTATGCATGAAGGTCATCGTTGGTGGCAATCGGGCTTCAGTAACAAAACCCTGACCGCACGTTATCGCGCGACGATCGTCGCAACTCTGAAGAAACCCTGGCTGGGTATTGGCGTTGCCTGCATTTTACCCGTCATCGGTTTTGCGTTGGCGCCCACGCTCACCAATCAGTTTTTCCCACCCGTTGACCGCAATCAATTTCAGGTACAACTGTCGCTACCCGCACAGGCATCCATCTGGGAGACCCGCGAAGCCGTTGCCATCGCCGATGACATCCTGCGCGCTGATCCCGAGGTCACCGACAGCTTCTGGAGCATTGGACAGGGGGCACCAAGGGTTTTTTACAATGTGGTTTCATTGAATGAACGGGTTGTCAGTTACGCATCCGCCTGGGTGAACACAACATCCGCACAGGCGACCCACGACATTTTACCGGATATTCAACAAGCTCTTTCTGAGGCTCTGCCGCAGGCAGAAGTACTGGCCATTCCGTTTGAACAGGGTCCACCCAGCGATGCCCCGATTGAAGTGCGTATTGTTGGTCCGGAGCTCAACGTCCTGCGTGAAAACGCGGAGCATTTGCGACGCATTCTCGCGGAAGTTGGTCAAGTCACGTATACCCGGGCAACGCTGTCCACCTCGGAACCCAAGCTTTCGTTTATACCCAACGAAAATGCCACTGCCATCGCCGGCATGTCGACGGGGGAACTTTCCCGCCGACTCAACTCTGCCTTGATGGGGGATCTGGCGGGTACCGTTCAGGAAGGTACTGCAGAACTGCCCGTTCGCGTGCGCGTGGCGGATCAATATCGAAACGAAATTGTCGACCTGGCCACCCTGCCCATGCTTACAAACGGCGGGCGCGGTGTGCCACTGGATGAGCTGGGACATTGGGAAATGATACCCACCGCATCGGCGATTGACCGCCGACAGGGTGAACGTATCTCCACCGTGCAGGGGTATCTGGTGCCGTTCACCTTACCCGCGGGTGTGCTGGCCGAGTTCCGCAAAAAAATCGAGACACAAGGCTTTGAGCTGCCCGCAGGTTACCGCCTGCAGATTGGCGGCGAAGCAGAAAACAGTTCGGAATCCATCGGCAATATCATGTCGGTATTTCTGTTTTTTGCCATGGCCATGGCTGCCGTGGTCATTCTGTCCCTCAACTCGTTCCGCTATGCCGCACTGATTGGCACTGTGGCCATTTTGAGCTTCGGCCTGGCCTTGTTTGGTGTGCGGTTGTTCAGTTACCCGTTTGGTTATATGGCACTGATTGGTGCCCTGGGTATGATGGGCCTGGCAATTAACGGCGCCATTATTGTTCTGTCAGCCTTGAAAGCCAGTCCTGTGGCTCTGGCGGGAGACATCGAAGGCACCGCGGATGTTGTGGTCGACGCCACCCGCCATATTGTCTCCACCACCGTCACCACCATCGGCGGCTTTGTGCCGCTGATTCTGGATGGCGGCACTTTCTGGCCGCCACTGGCAACAGCCATTGCCGGCGGCGTAGGTGGCTCAGCCATCATTGCGCTGTACATGGTACCCGCGGTTTTCATGGCTTTGAAACGACGCCAGATCAGCAAACTGCCCGCCAACGATGAAATTATTGAAAGCTGGCCCGAGGTAGATTTGCCGTCGTCGAGCAGCATAAAAACCGTTGGATAAACCTGCATGCAGCTTTGCCTTGGCCACTTTTACCGTGCTAGGCTTCGCCGCGATGAACAGTCAAGTAGACAGAGATAGAATCAATTGTTTCGATGAGGGATGGCGATAGCCGCATCCTGCGTGCGCCAGCACGCCACATGTGCATCAGCACATCGCTCCGTTTTCCTGATTCTTTCTTAAGGCACACCCATGACTGACGCAACTCCCACTTACCACCGTACGCCGGTTGTAGTTGAAACTCTGGCCGACCTGGACACGCCGCTGTCTGTTTATCTTAAACTGGCGGACGGGCCTTACTCCTATCTGCTGGAATCTTCGCAAGGTGGCGAAAAATGGGGGCGCTATTCCATCATCGGCCTGCCTGCCAGAACATTCCTCACGGTTCGCGGCGACGACATCACGGTAACCCACAATGGCAAGGTCATAGAGCAGATCTCCACGGATGATCCGCTGACCTTCATCGAACAGTTCCAGGCACGCTATATAGTCGAGGAACGACCTGATCTGCCGCGCTTCTACGGTGGCCTGGTCGGATATTTTGGTTATGACACCGTGCGTTATGTGGAAAAAAGACTTAAACACACCACGCCCCCGGACCCACTGAAAACCCCTGATATTCTGCTGATGGTCAGCGAAGAAGTGGTTATTTTTGACAACGTGAAAGGCCGCATGCAACTGGTGAGCCTGGTCGATCCAAACGTGGACGGTCTGATAGAACAAACCAGAGAAAAACTTCAGGCTCGGGTACGCACGCTGGCCCAGGCAACGCCGAAAATTCCAGTTAGCCAGGCCAATCAGAATATCGAAGAATCGGATTTTATTTCTGAAACTGGCGAAGCCGCTTTTAAAGAATCGGTGGAACAGATTAAGGAATACACCCGGGCGGGCGATGTCATGCAGGTGGTTCTGGCCCAGCGCATGTCGATTCCTTTTGCCTCGCCCGCGATAAATCTGTACCGCGCGCTGCGCAGCTTAAATCCTTCACCGTACATGTACTTCATGAACCTTGGTGATTTTCAGATTGTCAGTTCCTCGCCAGAAATTCTGGCGCGCCTGGAAAATGGTCGCATCACCAACCGCCCACTGGCCGGTACCCGCCGCCGTGGCCACACAGATGCTGAAGACCTGGCACTGGAAGAAGAACTGCTGGCTGACCCAAAAGAAATTGCGGAGCACCTGATGCTCATCGACCTGGGTCGCAACGACGTGGGGCGCGTTGCCGAATCCGGCTCAGTGGAAGTCACCGAGCAGTTTGTAATCGAACGCTACTCCCATGTCATGCATATTTCGTCCAATGTTGAAGGCACGCTGAAGCCGGGTAAAACCGCCATGGATCTGCTGCGCGCAACATTACCCGTCGGCACCCTGTCCGGCGCGCCAAAAGTTCGCGCGATGGAGATCATCGACGAGTTGGAGCCGGTAAAAAGAGGCATCTACGGCGGTGCGGTTGGCTATCTTGCCTGGAACGGCAACATGGACACTGCCATTGCCATTCGCACCGCTGTGGTCAAAGACGGCAAGCTGTACATAGAAGCCGGCGGCGGCATTGTTGCCGACTCGGTACCACGCCTTGAATGGAAAGAAAGCCTCAACAAAGGCCGTGCTATTTTTCGCGCCGCCGCGATGGCAGAAAATCAGTTCCGCGATCTGATCGACTGAAAATTTTCGCTGATGCACACTAGCCGACGGGATTTCCCTTCAACTGAGTTACAGGAATACGTGTGATCTGGGCACGCCACATTGTCGCAAGCAACTGGTTTACCAACTCCATTACTGTGGTGATTGTGCTCAATGCCATTGTCATTGGCCTGGACACCTCTAAAACGCTTTACGACAGTTATCACTGGTTATTTGTGATTGCCAACCAGGTTTTCCTGGCCATCTATATCATTGAAGCGCTCATTAAAATGGCGGCCGAATACCCCAAAATCACCCGCTACTTCAAAGACGGCTGGAATATTTTTGACTTCACCATCATCGTCATCAGCCTGATTCCAGCAACCGGCCAACTGGCAACACTTGCACGGCTGGCACGCTTGTTACGTGTACTGAGACTGATATCCACCCTGCCGGAACTGCGCCTGATTGTCGCCACGCTGGTCCGCTCAATTCCAAGCATGGGCCATGTGTTGATGCTTATGTCGATCATTTTCTACGTGTACGGCGTTGCGGGCTATCACCTCTTCCACGACGTTGATCCTACGCATTGGGATACCCTGGGCATTGCGCTGTTATCGCTGTTCAGAATTGTCACTTTAGAGGACTGGACTGACATCATGTATGCAGCCATGGCGGTCAAACCCTGGGCTTGGATGTACTTTGTGAGTTTTGTTGTACTGGGCACGTTTGTTGTGGTGAACCTGTTCATTGCGGTTGTCATCAATAACCTGGACGAAGCCAAAGCCGAACGTTTAAAGGAACTCAGCACACCACCTACCTCAGATGAAATTCTGCGCGAACTGCGAGATACCCAGACCGCATTGGCCCGGGTCCAAGCCCGACTGGAAAACTTCTCTTCCGATGACCCTCCAACCAGGGAGAAAACCTGATGATCCTCATGATCGATAATTACGATTCGTTCACCTATAACATCGTCCAGTATTTAAGTGAGCTTGGCGCGGAGGTTGAAGTATTCCGTAATGATGAAATCAGCATCGCGGACATTGAAAAAATGGCGCCAGAGAAAATTGTGATTTCTCCCGGGCCGTGCACGCCTGACGAGGCAGGCATCTCGCTGGAGGTGGTCAGCACCTTTGCCGGCAAAATACCCCTGCTGGGTGTTTGCCTGGGGCATCAGAGTATTGGCCAGGCTTTTGGTGGCGAAGTGGTGCGTGCTGAAGACGTGATGCACGGCAAAATCTCTATGATTCATCACAACGGCATCGGGGTTTTCAAAGGTCTACCCAATCCTTTTGAAGCCACGCGCTATCATTCGCTGATTGTGAAAAAAGACTCTCTTCCGGATTGTCTTGAAATGACCGCCTGGACGGAAAAAGAAGGTGAAGTTCATGAGATCATGGGCTTTCGGCACAAGACGCTCGCGGTAGAAGGCGTTCAGTTTCACCCCGAGTCGATCATGACCCAGAGTGGCCATGATCTGCTCAACAACTTTCTGCAATCAGACGGACCCGTGTTATGAACCTGAACCAGGCTCTAGAAGATATTGTTAGTGGCAAAGATCTCAATCAGGAGGCCACCGCGGAAGTATTTCATACCATCATGACAGGCGAGGCCACACCCGCTCAGATAGGTGCCTTCCTGGTAGGCATGCGCCTCAAAGGTGAAACTGCTGAAGAACTTGCTGGTGCCGCTATGACAATGCGCAACCTGTCTACCAAGGTGAACGTCAGCCATCCAAACCTGGTGGACACCTGCGGTACTGGAGGCAGCGGCAGCAAGCTGTTCAACATTTCCACCGCCGCTGCATTTGTTGCTGCAGCAGCGGGCGCCAAGGTCGCGAAACATGGCAATCGAAAAATGACAAGCTTCTGCGGCAGCGCGGACGTTCTCGAAGCAGCCGGCGTTGCGCTGACGTTAACACCAGAGCAGATCGCCACATGCATTATGGATGTGGGTGTCGGCTTCATGTTCGCCCAAGCTCACCATAGCGCCATGCGTTTCGCAGGCCCGGTCAGACAGGAAATTGGCGTGCGCACCATGATGAATGTGTTAGGGCCGATGACAAATCCCGCCGGCGCCAAGCGTCAGGTCATCGGCGTTTTTGACAGCCAATGGCAGACGCGGATGGCCCAGGTACTGCACCTGCTGGGTACCGAACACGCCATGATTGTCCACAGTAATGGTCTTGACGAAATACGCTTAGACGCCCCTACCTCTGTTGTCGAGTTGCGCAATGGCGCCATTGAACAGTATGACATTGCGCCTGAAGACTTTGGCCTGGAGCGCATTTCCACGTCTGCCGTCAATGATCTGTGCGCAGACTCCACAGAAAGCAGCCTGAAGCTGGTAAAACAATCATTAACATCAGCAGACTCAGCGGCCGCCGACATTGTCAGCCTGAATGCAGGCGCCGCAATTTACGTATCCGGTGTTGCCACCTCCCTGAAGAACGGCGTGCTGATGGCTCAGGATGCCATCGCCGCAGGCCTTGCTAAGGAACGTTTTGACGAACTTGTCAGAATAACCCGGATGATGACTGAACAATGAGCACCATTCTCGACACCATCATCGCCACCAAACACGAGGAAGTTGAAGCACGTAAACTGCAACTTTCATTAACAGACCTGCAGCAACAAAGCGAAACTGTTCAACCCGCACGCGGATTCTGCGCAGCTCTGCAACGGGCTGCTGAACAGAAAAAACCCGGGGTCATTGCCGAGATTAAAAAGGCTTCACCCTCTAAAGGGGTTATCCGCGAAGACTTTGACCCAGTTGCCATCGCAGAGAGTTACACCCGCCATGGCGCCACCTGCCTGTCCGTATTAACCGACGAATCCTACTTCCAGGGCAGCGACCAGTATCTGCGAGACGTTCGGGAAGTGACCAACCTGCCGATCATTCGCAAAGACTTCACCATTGACGAATACCAGGTGTATGAAGCCAAAGCCCTGGGCGCTGACTGTATTCTGTTGATCGCGTCTGCTTTAAATATCATGCAGCTGACGGTGCTCAATCAAACGGCAAAAGGCATCGGCCTGGACGTATTGATCGAAGTACACAACCTCAGCGAATTGCAGGCGGCGCTGAGCCTGCAGCCCACACTGATCGGTATCAACAACAGGAACCTGAAAACTTTCGAAACCTCGCTGACTAACACCACTGACCTGCTGCCACACATACCCGGCAATATTACTGTCGTGACAGAAAGCGGCATACGGTCAGCAGAAGACATCAGCTTGATGAACAGCCATGGCGTTTATTGCTTTCTTGTTGGGGAAACATTTATGCGCGCAGATGACCCAGGGCAGGCGCTGCGCGATCTGTTTTACTAAACGAACAAAAAGCAGGCAAAGAAAAAGGGCTCAATTGAGCCCTTTTCTACGTAAATAGCCATCCCTTTCGAGTTTGACTTTTACTCCAGTGGACCGCCTTAGCGGTCCGCACTTTACACATCCGTGTGTAACTTTTCTGGTTTCTAGATACTAACGAGTACCCGTTTCTCAACGAGTACCCGTTTCTCAACGAGTACCGTACACCACCATGGTCTTACCTTTCACAGAGACCAATCCTTGATCCACCAGTGTCTTCAACACTCTGCCCACCATTTCACGAGAACACCCGACAATGCGGCCGATCTCCTGACGGGTAATTTTGATTTGCATACCATCCGGGTGCGTCATGGCATCAGGCTGTTTGGTCAGCTCTAACAAAGTCCGTGCAACGCGACCGGTGACATCCAGAAACGCAAGGTCACTGACTTTCTGGGTGGTTTTGTTCAGCCGTTCCGCCATCTGCTTGCCAACCGCATAAAGCAGATCTGTGTGGCGTTCCGCCAACTCTTTAAACTTGTTGTATGACAGCTCAGCCACTTCACATTCGCTTTTGGCTTTAACCCAGGCTGATCGTGGTGTGTCGTCTACAAAAAGTGGCATCTCACCGAAAAAATCGCCTTTGTTCAGGTAGGCGACAATAATCTCTCTACCAGACTCGTCCTCTACAAGAACGGTAACGGAACCCTTAAGGATGAAATAGATCGAGTCGCTTTTGTCCCCTGCGTAAATCAGAGTACTTTTAGCGGGATATTTACGGCGGTGGGCCGCAGCGAGAAACGCATCAAGATGCGTATTGCTGGCCTCGGCATTCAAATTCATTTGAAATCCCTTAGCGGTTAGCGGACGGCCCATTTGATTGTTCTTCGTTGCTAGCATCGGTTGCGCTCCTTCGTAACTCTGTGCGTGAATTAAATACTAGGTGAGAAATGTGATGTGTTACGAGACACGGTCGACAAACGGCACTTTTTCACACTCCAAACGGTCGCAGTTCACTGGTTTTTCCTCGAAAATGTCTCGTCTTTACAAAACTAAACACGTAAAACCATTACATGCACACAAAAATACAATGGCAGAACAATGTCCATTTCACCGCGATTGCGGACTCCGGACACGAAGTATCAATCGACGGCCCACCTGATTCAGGGGGTGAAAATCTTGGCGCTCGCCCGATGGAACTCATGCTGATGGGTGTAGGGGGATGCACATCTTTTGATGTGGTGAATATTCTGCGCAAATCTCGTCAGAAAGTGACCAATTGTGTGACCGAAATCACAGCAAAACGAGCAGATGAAGTCCCACAGGTTTTTGAAACCATCCACATTCACTTTGCCATCGAAGGGGACAACCTGGATGCAGCCCGGGTGGAGCGGGCCATTGCGCTCACTGCAGAGAAATACTGCTCAGCCTCCATCATGCTGCAACGTGCGGGCGTAGAAATCACCCACACCTTTGATATACAGCAGGTAGAAGCGTAGCGGCTAAATTCGATACGTGGTACGTGTCATGATATTCGATATCAGAGACATCACCTGCTTAACCGGTGCTGGAAAGACTTCACCGCCCTGTTCGAGTGCCTGTTCGCCGTGGATGGCTTCGTCTTCGCGCATCTGATCGAGAATGGCGCGACTTTTATGGTCAGCAGCAGGCAGTTCTTCAAGGTGTCGATCCAGATGCGCCACCACCTGATCCTCAGTGGCTTCAACAAAGCCCAGACTGACCTTATCACCAGCAAGTCCGGTCAGCGCGCCCATCGCATAAGAAGCACCATAAAACAGTGGTGCTAACAGACTCGGCTGCGCGTCCAGTTCATCCAGGCGACTTCGGCACCAGGCCAGATGATCACGCTCTTCCGACGCCGCGTCTAACAGCGTTTTGCGTGCCTGGTCCGATTTAGCTGTCAGCGCCTGGCCTTCATAGAGCGCCTGGGCACAGATTTCGCCGGTGTGATTCACGCGCATCAGACCTGCGGCATGTTTACGCTGCGCCTCATCAAGTTCCAGTTGCGCGGCATCTGCGCCGGGATTGGGACGTTGTGCACTGTACGCACCAGACAGAGTGCGCAGCGCCCGATCAAGGCCAAGAACTAGGTTGTCGACAGGATTCGACATGGTCTCTCTTCATTAGATTTGAACCTGTAGTTTAACAGGGGTTTTGCGACACATCTCCCCGCCAGAACCCATCCCATTACCTATAATCCGGTCATGGCCGATACAAAAGATCTCGCTGTTTTACTGGATGCCAAGATTCCCATCATTGGCATCGAATCCCCTGACGAACGCCGGGTGCTGGCGCTGTTGCTGCAAAGTGCTATCCAGCGCGGCCTCAGCTTCTATGAATGGAGCGTAACGCGCGGGCTGCAGTTGGGCGGCTTTGGTGCACGTCCAGATGATAAAAACCAAGATTTTACCGAACCGGAAGCGCTGCTGAAGCACATAGCAGAACAACCCGGTCCCGCGCTCTACGTCGTGTGTGATTTCCATCCGTATCTGAACGGTGAACCAAAAAACATTCGCTACCTAAAAGACATTGGCCTTAACTACGACACCAACCAGAACACCGTTGTACTGGTCAGCCACAAACTGGATATCCCTGCAGAAATATCGCGCATGTCCGCAAATCTGACCCTCAGACTGCCCAGCGATGAAGAACTGATGGCTATGGTACGTAGCCAGGCCCAGGAATGGGCTGAGCAGAACCGCGGCCAGAAGGTGCGTACCGACAGCCGCACGCTGAAAAAACTGATCGCCAACCTGCGTGGTGTCTCGCACGCTGACGCTCAGGTACTGATCCGACATGCAGTATTTGGAGACGGCGCAATCACGGATTCCGACATTCCAGGCATCAACAAACTCAAATTCGACCTGATGGATGGTGAAGGCGTCCTGCACTTCGAATATGACACAGAACGTTTTTCCAATGTGGCGGGCCTGACCAACCTGAAACAGTGGCTCAAGCTGCGCAGAGATGCGCTCCTTGAGAATCAGGTCGATCGGCCCAAAGGGGTCATGCTGCTTGGCGTCCAGGGCGGCGGCAAAAGCCTGGCAGCAAAAGCCGTGGCCGGCTTCTGGTCTATCCCATTGTTGCGCCTTGATTTTGGCAGCCTCTACAACAAATATTTCGGTGAGACTGAACGCAACCTGCGCAACTCACTGAAACAGGCTGAACTCATGGCCCCATGTGTTTTGTGGATGGACGAAATCGAAAAAGGTCTGGCAACCGGACAAAGTGACAACGCCACTTCGCAGCGTATTCTGGGCACCCTGCTTACCTGGATGGCCGAGAACGACAAGGCCGTATTCATCGTTGCGACATCTAACGATATTACTGGACTGCCGCCAGAACTGTTGCGTAAAGGGCGGCTCGACGAAGTGTTTTTTGTGGATCTGCCCGATGCAGAAATACGCCAGGAGATATTCCGCATTCACCTGGCTAAACGCGACCTCGACCCAGCCGAATTCGACCTGCCGGCCCTGGCGCAGACAGCACAGGATTTCACCGGCGCTGAAATCGAAGAAGCCATTGTATCCGCCCGGTATCTGGCCGCTGCGCGAGATGGCAAAATCACCCAGAGTGATATCAAGTCCGCACTGGATCGTACCTACCCTATATCGGTACTGCGCGGGGAAAGCATACAGTCACTGCGCACCTGGGCAAAAGATCGCACCATTCCCGCATAGCTGGTGTTGTGGAAATGTCCTACCCGTCGCGCGCGAGCGGAAAAGCTGTATAACCCTGCTGTATAAGCAACAAGGCTGCTAATGCGCGCTGAGCCCGAGTACCCCCTCCAACATAATATCTGGTTTTGCCATCCAGCCTCTGAATATGATCCCGCAGATCGACCAGAGCCACACCCCCGGCAGATTTACAGCCGTCAGCTAAGCGTAAAAGCTGACCACCATTTTGCGCATTAACAAATTCAATCACCTGCTCGAGTAACAGGTGAATGAACACACGTTTATCAATGCACTGCACAATCGCTGGCTGCAGGGTGGTAACTGAGGCATTGCGGCAGGCACCGGTTACCAGAGCATCTTCGCCAAAAAAATCACCCGGACCAAGATGACATAAGGTATGCGCACCATCGTGCACCACAACATGCCCTTGCTGAATAACAAAACAGACATCGCCCCTGGCACCTTTCTCGATAACGCTTTCACCGGCACGGTAATGTCGGGGACAGAAGGATTGCACCAGCCGCTGCCAGTAACCTGGACGCAGGCGTTGCATCATCTTTGAGTTCAGAAAATTTTCCAGCCATTGTGTATCTGTGGGGGCATCAATTGATGCCATCGCTTGCGCACGTCGGCTGAGAAACTCATGCTGCGCAGCATCCACCCACAACACCCGAGCCGGAGTTCGGGTGCGGATATTGGTGCCACCGGGATAAAAGTGCCGCAGTGGCCCCTCGGCACGGGCTACCCGATACTCACGTCCTACAGCAATTGAACCCTCCAGCAGATACAGAAAGGCATCCAGCTTGCGACCATCCCGCAGCAACCACCGTTGCGCGGGCAGGCACAACACCCTTGCGCATTGCACCAACGCCTGAATTTCAGCTTTGGGAGTCTGTTCGAATTCGGGGATTCGTAAAAATTGCTGCACTAACATAGCCACAGCTTGCAGCAACAGCAGCTGCCTGCTCAGCAGCCATTAACGGATTGTGCTGAGGGATCTAGTCTCGATCGACTGCGCGATAGCCAATATCTTTGCGGAAATAGCGACCACGCCAGCCGATATTCTCAATGCGCTCGTAGGCCCGCGCCTGGGCGTTGGCCACCGTTTGCCCCATGCCGACAACACAGAGCACGCGGCCGCCGTTGGTTACAACATGGCCGTCCTCAAGTCGGGTGCCGGCATGAAATACCTTGGTATCCAGGAGTTCTTTCTGCAGCCCGCTGATTTGATCGCCGGTTGTATAACTTCCCGGGTAACCGCCGGCTGCCATAACCACTCCTAAGGCCACCCGAGGATCAAAACTCAGATTGAAGTGCGCCAGCTCTCCAGCCAGGCCGGCCTGGCAGGCAGCCAGCAGATCCGACTGCAAACGCATCATCACAGGCTGAGCTTCCGGATCGCCAAAGCGGCAGTTAAATTCAATCACTCTCGGATCACCGTCTGAAGAGATCATCAGCCCCGCGTAGAGGAATCCCACATAGGGGATACCGTCTGCAGCCATGCCAGCGAGGGTGGGCTCTATAATTTCAGCCATGATCCGCTCGTGCAGCGCATCGTCTATCACCGGAGCAGGTGAGTAAGCACCCATGCCACCTGTGTTGGGACCTTTGTCACCGTCGAAAATCGCTTTATGATCCTGGGAGGAGGCAAACGGCACCGCGGTTTTACCATCACATAAACAGATAAAACTGGCTTCTTCACCACTTAAAAATTCTTCTATCACAACTGTGGCGCCTGCTTCGCCAAACGCATTACCGCTCAGCATATCTTCCACTGCCGCCAAAGCCTGTTCTTCGCTGGTTGCCACCACCACACCTTTGCCTGCGGCCAGGCCATCAGCTTTGACAACAATAGGTGCGCCTTGCGCATGGATGTAAGCTTTGGCTTTGTTCAGGTCACTGAACGTTTCATACGCGGCAGTTGGAATATCATTACGCACCAGGAACTCTTTGCTGAAATCTTTGCTGCCTTCAAGCTGCGCAGCTGCCGCACTGGGACCAAAACAAGGCATCGCACTGGCGTTAAAAACGTCGCACACGCCCGCAACCAGCGGCGCTTCCGGACCCACAACAGTGAAGCCTACGCCTTCAGCCTTCGCCATCGCTAACAATGCGTCAATATCATCACTGGGCACGTCAACGTTGCGCACGCCGGGCTCCAGGGCTGTGCCTGCATTGCCTGGCGCCACCAGCACCTCTTCCACACCTTCACTTTGTTTGAGCTTCCAGGCCAGGGCATGTTCCCGCCCGCCTGAACCTATGACCAGAACTTTCATAGACCTTTATCCTCGGTGGATTGTGCTTACATTCATCTTAGTGGCGAAAATGACGTACGCCGGTGAACACCATCGCCAGGCCGTGTTCATCCGCAGCCGCAATGACTTCGTCATCACGCATTGATCCTCCCGGTTGAATCACAGCTTTGATACCCGCTTCCGCTGCAGCATCAATCCCGTCGCGAAACGGGAAAAACGCATCCGATGCCATGACCGCACCGTTAACCTGCAAACCTTCTTCAGCCGCCTTTAAACCTGCAATTTTTGCACTGATTACACGACTCATCTGACCGGCCCCGACACCAATGGTCTGACCGTCCCGGGCATACACGATGGCATTGGATTTCACAAACCAGGCCACCTTCCAGGCAAACAGTAAATCCTGCATCTGTTGTTCGGTAGGCTGCTGCTTTGTGACAACCGCCAGAGCACCCTCGTCCAGACACAAATTGTCTGGCGACTGCACCAGCAATCCACCACCCACACGTTTAAAGTCGAGTCGGGTGCCTGCGTCCCGCAAAGCGCCACAACTGAGCAGGCGCACATTCTTTTTGGCTTTGGCGACGTCGACCGCTTCATGACTGACTTCTGGTGCGATAACAACTTCAACAAACTGCCGCTCAAGTATCTGCGCAAGAGTTGCGCCGTCCAGTGCTCGGTTAAAAGCGACAATACCGCCAAATGCAGAGGTGGGATCTGTTGCAAACGCTTTGTTGTAGGCTTCTTCCATACTTTCGGCCACACCTACGCCACAGGGATTGGCATGTTTCACAATGACACACGCCGGCTCGGTGAACACTTTGACGCACTCCAGCGCGGCATCTGTGTCGGCAATATTGTTATAGGACAACGCCTTACCCTGGTGCTGCACATAACTGGCAATCTGACCACTCGCAGGGGTGAGCGCCTCAGCATAGAACGCCGCCTGTTGATGTGGGTTCTCGCCGTAACGCATATCGCTCAACTTGTTGAAGCTTAAACTGAGAGAAGCCGGCAGAAGCTCATCTGCACCGAGATAGGCCGCCACCGTCGCATCATACTGCGCCGTGTGACGATACGCTTTCACCGCATATGCACGCCGCCGTTCAAGCGCGATACCGCCGTCCAGCTCAGCTGTCAGTTCAGCATAGTCGGCTGGATCAACAACAACGGTGACATGCTGAAAATTCTTCGCTGCTGAACGCAACATTGCCGGGCCACCAATATCAATGTTTTCAATAGCATCTGCCTCGCTGCAGTCAGGCTTAGCAATGGTTTGTGCAAACGGATACAGATTCACTACCACCAGGTCGATCGGGTCGATCTCATGTTCCTGCATCACCGCCTGATCAAGATCGCGCCTGCCTAAAATACCGCCGTGTACCTTCGGATGCAGAGTTTTCACACGGCCTTCCATCATCTCCGGAAAACCCGTGTATGCAGACACTTCGGTTACCGGGATACCGGCATCAGCAATAATTTTATGTGTGCCGCCAGTCGACAGCAGGCTTACACCCGCTGCGCTCAAGGCAGCTGCCAGCTCTACAACGCCGGTTTTATCAGAAACGCTGAGCAGCGCGCGCTTTATGTTTACGTTCGTCAATTCGATTTCCAAAGTGTGCCGTTCGGGCAGCAATCCCCGCCTTCAAAGTTACGCCGCATCTCGGGCCTGCTGATCCCATCGGCTCATACTCAACAGCCAATCCAGCTGTTCATGTGCATCACTAACCTGCAGAAACGCTTTGCCGTGCTCGGCTAATCCCAGATGCTGCAGGTACGCCAGGACATGTTTTCTGGCAATCCGCAGGCCTGCCAGTTCGCCATAAAAACTGTGCATCAACTCTACATGGGTACAGATGATCTGCCACTTACCCGGCCTATCAGGCACCGGTTTACCCGCCAGTTCAGCAAACAACCAGGGCTGGCCCAGTGCACCACGACCGATCATCACGCCATCCGCACTGGAATCCGCCAGCGCCTGATGCGCAGCAGCAACGCTGTTGATATCCCCATTAACCATCACGGGTACATCAACCTTCGACTTCAGCGCACGGACAGCAGCATAGTCAGCTTGTCCGTTGAACTTACAGGCGCGGCTGCGACCATGCATCACCACCATCTGCGCGCCGTTCTGCACAGCGATGCAACCTGCCTGCACACCTAAATCGTCCTGGGTTGTCAGACCTGTACGGGTTTTCACGGTTATTGGCACCGGCACTGCCCGGGCCACCGCGTCAACAATGCGGCCAAGCAGATCCAGGTCCTGCAGCAGAGCTGAACCGGCAAACTTGCGACACACTTTTTTCGCCGGACAACCAAAATTGATATCAATGATTTCCACGCCTTCATCGACATGGCGTTGCGCAGCTTCGGCCATAACCTGTGGGTCAGTACCAGCAATCTGGACCGCCACCGGGGTCGCACCCGGCACGGGCACCCGACGCAGACGACTTTTGCCCGTTTCCCAGAGTTCAACTTTGCTGGATACCATTTCGCTGACCAGATAGGGACGGCCCAATTGCCAGGCAATGGTGCGGAAGGGTACATCGCTTAGCCCCGCCATAGGCGCTAAGGCAAACGTATTAGGAAGTTCAACGGCCCCAATTTTCATGACAATCTGATAGCAGAAGGAAAGAGGTCAGGCGGGCGGCGTGTTCACACGCTACCCGCCATAGTGATGTTCTACATTTTCATTTCGTAGAAGCAGAGTTTATTACCATCTGGATCACGGCAGTAGGCGCCATAAAAAATCGGCAGCCGCTCTCCTGGTTCGCCTTCATCGCTGGCGCCTAACTCAATCGCTTTTGCGTAGAGCTTATCGACACCTTCGCGGGAACCGCCGGGAATCGCAATCATGTTGCCATTACCGCAATTAGGCGCTTGCTCATCGTAAGGAATACAAATCGCCAGCATCGCGCTGTCCATGCCTGTGCCATAAAACTTGATGCGATCCTGCCCAAACAGTTGTTTTGCGCCGATCTGCTCCAGCAGCGGCCCGTAAAAAGCCTCCGCACGATCCATATCGGAGACACCAATGGTTACATATCCCAACATGACTCACCCTCTCAAGGTTAAAAAAGAGCGCTAGTAAACCCGCCTGCGCCCCCGCTTGGCAACCGCTTTTTCACCCAAAGCAAACTTTGAAAGCTAACGAAATTTAACTTCGAAGTTCAGTGCATCTTCTCCCGGGTCCTGGATCTCCAGGGACACGTGGATGGGCGTACGCGATGGCATCAACGAGCCATCGCCTGCCTCGCCGGCCAGATATTCTTCCGGTTTGAAGCGCCGCCCGGCAATCAGCTGCCCACGCATATTTGTGGCCAGTAATTCGATCAACGGATACGGCTGCGCAAACTCGGCGTTGTTAACCATCAACACATCAACAATACGGGCATCCGGTTGCTCCGGATGCACGCGAATGACTGATTTTTGCGCGTCAATTAAGGAGACGTTGCGCAGCGGCGGCAATTCACACCCCGCCACCCGGCAAACGGTTTCGTAAATCGGTCGATATTGCGGATTCATGCTCCAGGCATCGTACTGAAACCAAAGCACCTGAGCGGGTAGCGCCACCAAACCCAACAGCACCAGGATCAGGGTAATCCAGGTACGTCTGTCCGGCGTATCGGGCTCGAGTTCCAGTTCCACATCGGAAAAGTCAGGCAGATGACCTGACACCTGCTCACTCTGAGTCATTTCAGGTGCGGACCCAGGCAACGCCTGAAGTTCAATCTCCTGATCGACCTCAGGCTCAGGCGTCTGTTTATCGGCTGCAGCGGCATCCGCTTGAGTGTCATCTGTTTGCCAGATGTCTTCCGCAACAGATTCGTCCCAGTCAGAATCTGTATCTACCCCAGATCCTTCTGTCGCAGACTCGTCCACCGTGGCCGGCAACTGCTGCGCTTCGCCCACAGAAATACCAAAGGCTTCTGCTACCGGGGCGTCCAGATCTTCATCTGGTTTTTCATCTGGGTTTTCATGCAGATTATCTGCCTGGCTGCGCGGCGCATCCTCGGAGCTTTGCATGTCGGCCAGAAACTGGGCTTCCAATGCCAGCAATTCCGGCGGCAGGCTGGCTTCATCATCCGCTGAATCCTGTGCGTCTTCAGGATGCCCTCTGGCCATCTGCGCTGCAGAGACTGGAATGAAATCTGCTTCTGACAGACTCGGCATCGAAGGTGCCTGAGCAGGTTCGCGTGCAGAGATTTCATTCAGCTCATCCAGCAGCGCATCAACATCTTCAGATTCATCACCGGTAACGAAGTCTTCACCGTCAAGGCTTAAATGAGCGGTACCATCAAACACCACCAGACACGCTCCACAGCGCACTCGACCACCCGCAATCTGCAGCTGAGACTCGGTAACGCGAAAACGTGTGTCACAGTTCGGACATTCGGTAATAAGAGGATCGAGGTTTTCTTCTGACATTTTTAATGAGCCGCGCGATCAGGCCCGAACCCCGGCCAGACATACCCAACCCGCTTCAATTCGTGGTTCAGCATAGGTTGTCTGTTCATAGCTGCCGGCAACCTCTGCGGCCTGAGCTTCCAGAATCCCCGACAGAACAATCGCACCACCGGGCAAGGTAACTGATTCAAACTCTGCAGCCAGGTCCTGCAGGGGTTTAGCGAGAATATTAGCGACCACCACATCAAAGTGTTGGGGATATAGGTGTGCTTGCCACTGTTCAGCCAAAACAACGTCTACCTGACGAGTATCTAGGCCATTGTAATCCGCGTTTTCCTGTGTCGCCAGAATTGCCTGGGGGTCGTGGTCTACCGCGACCACCTCAGCACCCAGCAGCGCTGCCGCTATTGCCAGCACACCAGAGCCGCAACCAAAATCCAGGACTTTCTGCCCGGCCTGAATATTTTCAGCCAGCCACTGCAGACATAGCCGGGTCGTCGGGTGACTGCCGGAACCGAACGCCAGGCCCGGCTCCAGGCGTAACAGGGTGTAGCGTTGCGCAAGCGTCTCATCAACCTGCTGATGCTTCGGCAACAGCCACAGACGCTGCGCAAAAACCTGATCCACCGCATGGTTATTCACCTGAGCCTGCCAGTTCTGGTCAGCTATAAACTGCACATCCAGCACCGGTGGTATTTGCGGCAGGTTTTGTAGCTGCACCTGTAAATCGGCCATGTTGGTGTCTACAGGCAGCAAGGCAAGCACGCGCACACTGGACCAGAGGGGCGTTTCTCCTGGTGCCGGCTCTAAAACCGGTTCATCGTCATCACTGAGTAATGTGATCGCAACGGCACCCGCTGCGAACAAAACAGCTTCGCTGGCAGTCAGGGATAGCGGGGCAACACGAAGTTCGAGTTGTAACCAGCTCACAACAGCTTAAACAGGACATCTCCGGTGCTGATGGGCTCACCGTTTGCCACGCAGATCTGCTGGATACAGGCATCCTTTGCAGCACGGATTTCGTGCATCATTTTCATACTCTCAATGATGCACAGGACATCGCCAGCGTGTACCTGCTGACCTGTTTCAACAAACACAGGCGCTTCCGGATGCGATTGCCGATAGAACGTGCCGGCCATTGGCGCGACAAAGTTTTCAAGCGCAGCGCCGGACGCTGGCGTATCGTTTGGCGCTTGCACAGTGACCACTGCGGGGGCAACAGACCCGGTGCCAGCTGCCGGCAGCCGGTGCATGACAATGCGCACAGATTCATCACCACTGCTGACTTCCAGTTCGGAAATTGCAGATTCTTCCACTAACTCAATCAGTTTTTTGACTTTACGTAGATCCACTGCCACCCGGGCCCCCTGTGATTTTTACGGATTAAGCATCCATTTTTGCCAACGCGGCCTGCAACGCATAAACATAACCGCCGGCACCCAAGCCAGTGATCACGCCAACGGCGATATCACTCAGATAGGATTGTTGACGAAAATCTTCACGCGCGTGCACGTTAGAAAGGTGCACTTCTATAAACGGTATCGTTACGCCCAGAAAGGCATCCCGCAGCGCGATGCTGGTATGTGTAAATGCGCCTGGATTAATAATGATGAAATCCACACCCTGGGCCTTTGCCTCGTGCACGGCATCAATTAACACATGTTCGGCGTTGCTCTGCAGAGTTTTGACGTCTACGCCAGCGGGCGCAGCCGCAACGATCTTCTGATTCACATCTGCCAGTGTGTCATAGCCATACACTTCGGGTTCACGAGAACCGAGCAGATTTAAGTTAGGACCGTGTAGCACCAGAATCGAAGGCATTTTAAGCTCACCCGAAACAAAATGAGGCATTTTGGAGGATCACTTAGGAGAATCAAGCGCTTATTCGCTCTCAACCAACACGACCAGACCTGATTAACGCAATTTTAGCCGGAAATGGCTGCTATTTCGCCGACGTTACCAAGTCTTCCTGCATTTAGAGAAGCTAAAACCGCACCGAGATGAGCAGCCAGCGTTTCCGCATTGACCTCACCCTGGATACGAACATCTGTTAACTCACCGCCTTCTCCTTCGAAAAAGACCAGACTGGGCGGGCCAAAGAGGCCGTAGTAATTCAGCAACTCACGATCTATCGCGTCGTTGTCAGTCACATCCGCACGCAGCAGAGTGAACTGGTTGAGTCGAGCAGCCACTGCGGCTTCAGGAAAGACATTGCGCTCCATAACTTTGCAGGAAATACACCAGTCAGCGTAAAGGTCGAGGATCACCGGCTTGTTGCTCACGGCAATCTGCGCCTTTACATCCGCAAGACTTTTAACCGCTTGCCACTGAGGCTCTGCATGGACCGCAACACCGCCCACACTGACACCCCCGCCAGATAATTTGGCCAACGGTTTCAGCGGGTCGTGTGCACCGCTGGCTGCGCCAATCAGCAGCAAAACGCCCCACATGAATCCTAACGAGCCTGCCGCTTTGCCCAGCTGGGCAAAACCTTGTCGAGGAGAGAAATCGAGCACGCCCAGATAAACCCCGCTACCGATCAGCAACGCCGCCCACAACACAAGGGTGACAGCCGGTGGCACAACCCGTTCCAGCAACCAGACGGCAACGGCCAGCAGGCCAACACCAAATACAGCTTTGACGCCATTCATCCAGGCGCCTGCACGCGGCAGCCAGTGTCCGCCGCTGCCGCCAACAATCATCAGCGGCACACCCATACCCAGACCGAGGGCAAGCAGTGCGGTACCGCCTAAAACTGCGTCATTGGACGTAGAGATATAAATCAGCGCCCCCGCCAGCGGTGCAGAAACGCAAGGGGATACTACCAGTGAAGACAGCGACCCCATGACCATCACCGAGACATGTTTGCCGCCTTGTTGCTTCTGCCCCATGGCGTTTAGTCGATTCTGCAGACCCTGGGGCAACTGCAGCTCATAAAAACCAAACATAGACAGCGACAGCAGAACAAAAACCAGGGCAAAAAAGATCAGCACACCGGGGGATTGCAGCGCTGCCTGCAGATTAAGCTCCGCCCCGAACAGACCAACCAAAGTGCCTACCAGAGCGTAAGTCGACGCCATGCCCAGCACATACGCAAAGGACAGGGTAAACGCCTTGCGCTTCGAAATGTCGTCACCTTCACCAACAATGATGCTGGAGAGAATAGGCACCATCGGCAGTACACAAGGGGTAAACGCAAGACCGATACCCGCAATGAAAAACAGCGCCAGGGCGTACCAGAGACTTTCACTGGCAAGAATGCCTGCTAACAGTTGTTCTTCTGTGTCGGCCACACCAGAGGTGGAGGTTGTCACTTCAGCTGTCTGCGCATCGACAATGTTGTCTGCACTTGCCGCTATCGCGCCTGCAGTCGTCGACAATGACGCAGAAATAAGGCGCATGCCGTCATAGGCAAACCATTTTGTTTCCGGCGGATAACACAGCCCCGCATCTGCACACCCCTGATAGTTAACGCCAATCTGTGTATTTACGCCGGGCTGGGCTTCCAGGGGCAGGACTATTTCGGCATTGTGGTAATAGACTTCCACTTCGCCAAAAAAATCATCAACTTTACGTTTTCCGTCTGGGATCGCGGGCTCACCAAGCGTCAGGCGGCTGTTGTCTTTCGCTTCAAACGAAAACTGATGGCGATACAGATAATACCCATCAGGCATCTCCCAGCGCGCAACAAAGGCACCGTTGCTGTCCAGTTCTGCGGTCAGCGCAAACGCTTCGTCAACCTTCAGAAAGGTATCTTCTTCCTCGAGCCAACTGTCGCCACTTTCAAATTCAAATTCCGCTGCAGCAGCAGACAATGCAAATAATGCGGTGACCAACAGAAGTGAACGACGCAGGAGCGTCTTTATATCAGCCAGTGGCTTGAGATCGTGCACGTTGAACTTCACCGGAACCTCTAAAACTGTAAATGTATTGTGCACTCGCTAGACCCTGCTGAAAATCAGGAACTCTACAAAGGTGCGAATATTCGTGCGCATATGACCCCGCCAACAGCGGGAAGTTCGCTACAATGCGCTGCCCAAGTCTATACGTAACACCATTGCGCCATCTTCACTGTGAATTCTGACACCAACCGAAAACCAGACCTCAAATTTCCCTCAATAAAAGCAGTTTTACTGCCTTTATTGCTTGGCCTCGTCTGCGCAACGGGTTGTCAGGCGCCCTCGGCACCCACGCCACCACCTGAGCCTGTCGTTGCACCGGTTACGCCACCACCGCCACCGGTCATCGAGCGCCAGTTATTGTTCAAACTCCTGGATGATGCTGATGCGGCCATTGCGGACAATCGATTGACCTTTCCGGCGGGTCACAACGCACTGGACTATTACCACGACATTCTAGCGATTCAGCCTGACCAGGAGGACGCTCTGCGAGGCTTGGAGCAACTGGTCGAAATCTACGTCAAACTGGCCCAGGATGCATTGGAATATAATCGTTTTGCCACGGCTCGCTCGATGCTGGTGAGGGCCGATTTAATTGTCCCTAATCACCCTTCAATAGAACCAACCCAGGCGCAGATACGACTATTAGAAGAAGCACAGAGAACCGCGCTGACATTGGATCAACACACTTTGAACAATCCGACCCGAGCCCTCAAAGATCAGTTAATCGCCCTGGGTAGCCACCCGGCAAAGACGCCATGCCGCTTTATTATTTATGCCCGCAGCGACGCCCAGGGACGCTGGATCTATCAGCAGCTTGCGGCAGCCGAGGTTGCCGGCCGAATCAGAGCCGAAATCAAAATACGTACACCCGCAAAAGTGGAGCGCCTATGTTTCCCCACCTGAAGACCTGCACGCAACTGTTTATGGCACTCATGGTCGTTGTATGGATCAGCGGATGCAGCACACCACCTGCCGCAATCGAGGTCTCTTCAGCCCAGGTACGAGATCTGGTACCTGGGCGAGATACGACGGCGGGTTATTTTGTGCTGACCAATAACACCGCTGATGAGCTGACCCTCACAGGTGCCACCTCAGAGCTCGCACGCGCGATAGAAATGCACCGAACGGTGCAGCGTGAAAATTCAGTGGGCATGCAACGGGTTAACAGCCTGTCCATCAAACCCGCCTCAGAAGTACGTTTTGAACGGGGTGGGCTGCACCTGATGATTTTTGGTGTCCCGGAAGTACCTGATGCCTTCCCTATCACCCTCCAGTTCAGCAGTGGCGAGCAACTGACTGTAACCTTTAGTAAGCTGCCGCTGTGATTGGATCAACATCCGCCACCTGATGATTACCGGGGTCAATCGACATGAGTTTGAAATTCTGGCAACGCACCGAACCTGTATATATGGATGACAATATGAGTAGTACGCCTTCCACAGTTGGCAAAGTCGCCGGCGGCTTGATCGGCCTGTACCTGGCCATTACCGTGATTCTGAGCTGGTGGTGGGACTACGAGCCCGATCAGTTTGACGTGCGCGAAAATGCCATGCAGATGGCCCAGAGCGCCAATGATTCGCTGGTCACCGGCTATCTGACCACTGCAACCGTCATCACTCTGGCGGACACGCTGCTGCAAAAGCGTGGTGGCTACCTGTCCAACGACGTTTTTCCACCTGGGGTCTGGATGGATAACGTGCCTGAGTGGGAATTTGGTGTGCTGACGCTGCTGCGGGATGCGGCGCGGGTGTACAGAAACGATTTGTCCCGTTCACAGAGCCAGTCTGCAGAAGACCCTGACCTGTCCGAGGCTGAGGGTAAGTTTTTCTTCGACAACAGTTCCTGGATGCTGCCGCAGACAGAAGATGAATATCGCGATGGGGCAAAGCTGTTCCGCAATTATATGGGGCGACTGGCAGACAGCGGCCAGACCAATGCGCAGTTTTATGCCCGTGCAGACAACCTGCAGCAGTGGTTGGCAGCGATTGAAACGCGTTTAGGCAGCATGTCCCAGCGACTTGCCGCCAGCGTGGGTAAGCGTCAGCTGAACATCGACCTGGCCGGTGACAGCGCTGCACAACAGGCCACCGCATCCCCACAGGATCAGATGGTTAAAACCGCGTGGCTTGATATCGACAATATATTCTTTGAAACCCGCGGTTATACCTGGGCACTGCTGCATGTGCTGCGTGCTATGGAACAGGATTTCGGCGATGTGCTCGACAACAAAAATGCCCGGGTATCCCTGCAGCAGATTATCCGCGAACTGGAACCCAGCCAGGATACCGTGTGGAGTCCGATGGTGTTGAATGGCGATGGCCTGGGCCTGCTGGCCAACCATTCACTGGTGATGGCGTCCTACATTGCCCGCGCCAACGCGGCCATTATCGACCTGCGTACCCTGCTCACTCAGGGCTAAAACCCACGGGTGGCGCGGCGCGCCAACGCTGTTATTATTAGCGGCGTTCGAAACAGGGGAGGAAGGCAACTGGCATCTATGCCGGCGTGCGCTCGCCCCGTAAAACAAAAAACTAAACACTAGTTGGGGACCCAAATGATTGAACAAGAACTGATCCCACCTGCGCTGGGCGTAGTGGGGCTCATTGTTGCATTTGTGATCTACGGTATCGTCAAAGCTTATGATGAAGGTTCTGACGCACTTAAAAAGATTGCGGATCAGATCCACATTGGCGCCATGGTTTTCATGCGCCGCGAGTACACACTATTAGCGCTGTTCAGTGCTGTTCTGTTGTTACTGATATCTATCACAGACCTTGGTTTATACACCGCAGCTGCGTTTCTGGCCGGCGGATTGTCATCCGCAGCAGCTGGTTGGATCGGTATGTATGCCGCCACCAAGGCCAATATCCGCACCACCAATGCAGCACATACCAAAGGTCAGGCAGACGCTTTGTCCGTCGCGTTTTTCGGCGGCTCTATTATGGGCCTGGCGGTCGCATCACTGGGCCTGCTTGGACTAGGCCTGGTCTATTACTTCTACGGCAGCGACCCACACATGGTTCACCATATCCATGGCTTTGGTATGGGTGCCTCGGTTGTCGCGCTTTTCTCCAGGGTCGGTGGCGGCATCTTCACCAAAAGTGCGGATGTTGGCGCAGACCTTGTGGGCAAACTCGAGCAGGGTATTCCAGAAGATGACCCTCGTAACCCCGGTGTTATTGCTGACAACGTTGGTGACAACGTAGGTGACGTGGCCGGCATGGGTTCGGACATTTTTGAATCCTACTGCGGCTCGATGATCGCCACCATCGCAATCGCCTCGACACTGGCCGCCCTTGGCGTGAGCCAGTTAGCGCCAGGTCTATCTGAAGCAGAAGGCCGTGCAGCGCTGATGTTTGTGCCTCTGGCACTGGCTTCAACCGGCCTTATCGCCTCAATCATCGGCATTGGCATTGTTCGTTCTTTTTCCAACGCTAACCCGGCGGTTGCCCTGCGTATCGGCATGATCGGCACGCCAATCATATTCATGGCGGCCGCTTACCTGGTGCTGTCTACTCTAGGGGTGTCTAACAACATCTGGTGGGCGGTACTCTTTGGTGCTGCAGGTGGCGTTGTGATTGGCCTGATCACTGAGTACTACACCTCCTCAACGCCGGTTGTGAAAATTGCTGAGTCCGGTAACACCGGCCCAGCCACAGTCATTATCACTGGTCTGGCAGTCGGCATGCAGTCGGTTGTTGTGCCTATTCTGACTATCTGCGCCATCATCTACGTATCCACCAGCCTGGCTGGACTTTACGGTGTTGGCGTCGCGGCTGTTGGCTTGTTAGCGACAGTTGGCATGACCATGGCCGTTGACGCTTACGGCCCGGTTGCAGACAACGCCGGGGGCATCGCGGAAATGGGTGGCCTTGGCCCTGAAACCCGCGCCATTACCGATTCGCTGGACGAACTGGGTAATACCACCGCAGCAATGGGTAAAGGTTTTGCCATCGGCGCAGCTGCACTCGCTGCGCTGGCCATCATCGCAGCCTTTGTCGAGACCGTCACCCTCGCCCGCGGTGGCGAGTTTATTCTGCATATCGGCAACCCGATGGTGTTGATCGGCCTGTTTATCGGTGGTCTTGTACCTTTCCTCATTGCCTCCATTACCATGACCTCGGTTGGTGAAGCGGCGATGGAAATGATTGAAGAGATCCGTCGTCAGTTCCGCGAAATTCCAGGCCTGATGGAAGGTACTGCAGATCCAGACAACGCTAAATGTGTTGAGATTGCTACTAATGCAGCATTGAAGAAAATGATGCTGCCCGGCGTGATCGCTGTAGCTGTTCCCCCTATGGTTGGATTTGGTCTTGGTGCTGAAGCTCTGGGTGGCACCCTTGGCGGCGCGCTGCTCGGCTGTGTTCTGCTTGCGCTGACCATGGCTAACGCCGGCGGCGCCTGGGACAACGCGAAAAAATATGTTGAGAAAGGTAACCTCGGCGGTAAAGGCAGCGAGGTGCACTCTGCAGCTGTTGTTGGTGACACGGTTGGTGACCCCTTCAAAGATACTTCAGGTCCCAGCATGAACATCCTGATCAACGTGATGGCGATTGTCAGCCTGGTGATTGCACCACTTCTGACCTGATCCTGCTTTCAGGATAAAAGAAACGGGACATGAGAGTGTCCCGTTTTTTTATGCTTGCGTTAACGCAGAACCTGACCGTTAACATTGCCTTGCCAAACATCGCGCCGGCACCTTGCCTAACCATCCGGCGAAGTCAGGAGAAATGCAGGCCGTTGATCTTTAACCATGGAAAGTTCTGCCCACCATAATTGATTTTCTCGGCAGATACACCGCTGATATCCTTGAGCATCTGCGCCATGTTACCTGCGACCATCGTCTCAGCGAGGGCAGCGCCGATCTCCCCATCTTCGATCAGAAAGCTGTTTTTGATCACGCCGGAAAAGTCGCCGCTTGAAGTTGGACGTCCCATCGAGATGCGCGTGACTAATGCGCCTCGTTGGACTGACGAGATCAGATCCGTTTTTCTGTCTTTACCTGGATCAATAGACCATCCCGAGGTACTGGGGCGGTGAGATAGACCGGTTTTCAGGCTGCCATAGAGGTCGGGTAACAAGGTGGCCAGTCTGCCGTTTTCCAGGACAACAAGAGGCTCAGCTCTGAAACCATCTGCGGTGTACGGCGCGTGCCCTGGCGCATCGAAGTCGCTGCGCAGGGTCAGGTTAGAAGCAGCAATCTGCTCGCCAACACTGTGTTGATAAACCGACGACTGCGCTATCAGAGCCTGGGTACCAAGTTGCTCGAGCAGCCAGCTGAACACGCTGGAAACCGCGCTGGGCGCAAGAATCACCTCTCCGACAAAGGGTGATCCAATCAGCTGAGTATGAATCTGATGTTCAGCGCTGCGCATCAGCTCATCAAGGGCAAAAAACTCGACTGCGCTTTTGTCGCTCAGATCATTAGCAATACCACCGCTGTAGCTGAACGAGCTGGTCTTGCCATCCTCTGTTGCATTACACGTGACGCCCAGGCGGAAACTGCCCACCGTGCTGGACAGGGCTGTGCCCCGACTTGTGACCGTATGTGTACGCGACACGCCGTGTGCGGCAGCAGCAGATCGAAGCTCCACTTTTGGTGTCTGCTCAGCGCGGAAATCGAGTATCTCCGATGCCTTTCTGCACAGAAGATCAAGATCGGAATGCAAAGGTCCCTGCTCAAAGGAATCGACCTGATTGCTGCTTACCGCATTGGCATCATCCTGGGGTGCACTTCGGGCACGCGCAACAAGAGTTTTTACAGTCTCCGCGACGACTGCGTCGTTGAGGTCGGTGATCGCGACGTTTGCCTTTCTGCCATCGACAATACCCGTTAGAGAGATATCATAGTTTTCAACGCTGCGCAGCAGAGAGGCTTCGTTCTGTTCAATATTGAGCTCATCCTGGGTTGTGATCGAAACACTGACGTGGCCATCATCGAACCCTGCAGCCTGGAGTTGTTCGAGTGCTGCTTCAGCAATAGGTTTAGGGTCGATTGTCATTGCGATTATTCTCCACCCAGGTGCGCTTGTGCGCGGATAGCGGGCCCACCCATTGATACAACCATCGGTTGCTTCTTGCCGCAGTAGCCACCGCACTCCCAGTGCATATCATCGGATACCGCATCCACCGTTTTCAGCATATCGATTGCCCGACCTGAAACCGTTGTATCTGTGATCGCATGTCCAAGTTTGCCGTTTCTGATTTCATACGCGAGGTTGATGCCAAACATGAATTCTGTGGTGGCGTCGGCCTGGCCGTTACCGGTTTTCATCAGGAAATAGCCTTCTTCAACCTCGCTGATCATGTCCTCGAGCTTGCTTTTACCTGGCAGAATCGCGGTGTTGCGCATTCTGATCAGGGGTTCATCGTTGAAGGTGTAAGCGCGAGCATTGCCGGTTGCGGCCATGCCCAGCTTTGCCGCGGTTTCGCGGCTGTTCATAAAGTTTTTCATGATGCCGTTTTCGATCAGGACGGCATCAATGGCCTCGGTACCCTCGTCGTCAGCGTAAACCGGGATCATCAACTCGGAGCCATTATAAGTGTTGGCGTAATCAATCATGGTGATCAGCTCGCTGGCAACGGGTTTGCCAACAAGACCAGCCAGGGCGGATCCGCCGAGAACAGAATCCGCCTCGCAGGGATGGCCCATCGCTTCGTGGGCCAGCATGCCGGCCAGGTCCGGTGACAGGACAATGACATGTTGACCGCCGCGGACAGGCACCGCATTGCACTTGGCTTTTAAATGTTGGTACGTCTCATCGAGAGCAGGTCCTATGGTTTGCATGGTCATATTCAGGTCGGCCAGGTTGCCTTTACCGGAGAGTGACTCTCTGAGCTCTACCGGGCGACCGTTTTTATCCTCTGCTGTCATCACGACAACCCAGGTTGCCCGATTGATGACGCTGACGCCCTCGCCGCCCATGGTGGTCTGATAAGCCTTGTTATGAGCCTCTTCGTGAAGAAGGATGGAGGTAGACTTGAGATCGGGATAGCGGCGGCGGCAGTGATCATTGATCGCAGCCATGATGTCGATGCTGTCCTGCTGCGAAAGTTCGGCAGTATCGGTACCACGCTGTTCGTAAGAGTGCGCATTACCCGCGAGTGTCAGGGCCGATTTTTTGCCAAAGCGACTCATCACTAACGCGTTATCGACGGCCTTCCTGACAACCTTATCTCTACTGACGGTGTCCGCCTTAGGCACCGAAGCAAATCCCCAGTAACCCTGGTTATACACTCTGGAACTTACTCCGCCCTCAGTGGTTTCAGAATTGGCAGTGAGGTTGCCATCGACCATCAGTTTTCGCACTTTGCGAACCTGGTGCTCCCGGACTTCAGCATATTCCACACCGGCGGGCACTGATAATTGACTCATAATTCATTCAACCTCAAATCGAAGAGCATCCATTATAACAGTTCACGGGGCGGCAACAGGTGGTGATCTGCGGTGTGTGCCTCCTGGTAATCGCATTTGACCGTCGTCTTACCTGAACTATGGTTACAACATAAAATCAGGATGTTTACGATGAGACCCGTATTTTTGTTACCAACGCAGGCAGTCAATTGTGCACCAGCGGGGTTCTGCGCATGATTGTTTCCCTCACAGAAGCAGCCCAGCTTACAGGCAAATCCCGCCAGACTATTTACCGTAAAGCCAGTAAAGGCGAGCTCTCGATTACCACGCGTAAAGATAACAGCAAAGGCGTAGATACTTCGGAGCTGGAGCGTGTGTTTGGCACCATCACAGTACAAGAAGCCAGCGCGTCTGACGTGGGCGTTAGTGAAGCAGAGATCAGACAATACAAAATTAATTCTGAAGAAACCAAGCTTGAAGCAGTTGATGTGGCAAATCTGGAAAGAGAACTAGCCACTGCCAGAGCCAGCCTGCAACTGCATCAGCAGACGATCGATGAGCTCAAAACAGATAAGTTGAAACTGTGGAATCAGTTAGCATCTCAACAGCAATTGTTGGAACGCAACGAACAAATGGTCGCATCGTTGCAGTCACATCGAATTCAAAAACTGACCAAAATTGCAAATGAAGGTGTACTGTTTGGTTTGGCCGGTTTCAGCATTGGCGCGATTTTTTTTATTCTGTCCAGCGCTTTGTAATTCTGACGTATCCCCAGCTTTCGGTTGGAATGATGACTGGCTCAACCCTGTAGCGTAGTATCCACCAGCGAGCGCTTATAGGGTTAACCAGATACGGTAATTCTCCATCAATGTCATCAGCCAAGGCGTTCCCCACTGATCTACAGGCATCTAACACATACTTAAAGTGGTGACAGCGATTGTCAGCCTGGTGATTGAGGATCTCATTGGTACCCGTCTCGGACCGATTGGTTTCGCCCCTTTCATGTACGCAGAACACTTCGCTCAACCCGTGTTGCGTAACCCACTGGAGATCCCAGCCATGGTGACACGCAGTGCCCGTGCAATAGCAGAGTCTGGTTGTTCATCCGCCCGATAGCGTGCAAGCAGCTCAGCCTGCAGGACATGCAACGGGTCGAGATAGGTATTACGAACGCTTAAAGATTCGGCCAATGCCGGTTCGTTGGTGAGCAACTTATCTGCGCCGCGCAGTTTGAGCACCGTCGATTGCAGCGCTGCAAGTCGATCGCAGAGCGCGTCAACTGAATCTGCAGGTAGATCGCCCAGTAACTTTGTCGCGTAGAGTCTGGTGAGGCTGGGTTCACACTTGGCGAGTACCATCTCCAGCATATCAATCTGCATTCGAAAGAACGGCCAGTCGAGCATGGCGCGCAGTTCCGCCAGTTCTTCCTGGCTCGTGCCCAGGGCGCGCTCAGTGCCTAACCACGCAGGCAGCATCAGACGAATCTGAGTCCAGGCAAATACCCAGGGAATAGCTCGCAGGCTGGCCACATCGTCAGTGGCAGCCCGGCGAGCCGGACGACTGCCGAGAGCAAGAATCCCGAGTTCGCGTTCCGGCGTGAGTGCGCGGAATAAAGCGACAAAACTCGGGTCGTCACGCACCGTTGCGCGATAGGCTGACAATGATCTGGCGGCCATGCGTTGCATCGCCTCGCGCCACTCCGGGCGTGGCAGGTCTGGCGGGTTGAGCGACGATTCAAGTGTTGCGCTGATGTAGCCCGTCAGGCTGTTGCGGGCAAGTTCGGGCGTGCCAAGCTTCCAGCGAATCATTTCACCCTGCTCGGTAACGCGCAGTCTGCCATTCACAGAATGAGGTGGTTGGGAGCGGATCGCGGTTTGCGCCGGACCACCCCCGCGACCTACAGCGCCGCCGCGGCCGTGGAAGAGTGTGAGTTTCACCTGGTGTTTGTCAGCAACCGCGACAAGCTGCTCCTGCGCTTCGTACTGTGCCCAGGCCGCAGCAAACTGGCCGGCGTCTTTTGCTGAATCGGAGTAACCGATCATCACCTGCTGCTCCTGACCGCAGTAGTTGGCGTACCAGGTGTTGCTGAGCAGAGCGTTGAGTGTGTCAGGTGCGCGTTCAAGGTCATCGAGTGTCTCGAACAGCGGCACGATAGGCAGGTTTTGTTTCAGCCCGGCGTCACGCAACAGCAGAATGACCGCCAGCACATCGCTTGGGTGCCGGGCCATAGATATCACGTATTGCGCAATACCAGCGGCTTCAAGGCGAGCAATCAAAGCGCAGGTGTCGAGTACTTCAGACACCTCAGCGCTGGCTGGCCAGGTGGTCGGAAACAGCGGGCGCCTGCTGTCGAGCTCGCGCAGCAGGAACTCGCAGCGCCGTGCTTCACTCCAGTCGTTGTAGCCACTGTTGTCATCCGCAACGTTCAAATAGCGGGTGAGCTCATCAAACGCATCAGCGTGGCGATCTGAACTCTGACGAATGTCGAGGCGTGTGAGTGTCGGGCCGAAGGCGGCAGCTCGCCGGATGCTGTCCTGCAATGGACCCGCGGCAATGGTGGCCATGCCACACTCAACCAGCGAGTCATGCAGCTCCTGCAGCGGCTGCAGCAGTTCGTCCGTGCGCCAGAATATGCTCGACTGGCTGACAGGGTCACTTGCCCGCACACCGCCATCGGGTTTGGCTGCGCGTGCTTCAGCCCAATCACGAGTCAGCAACATTTTGTCGCGCAACGTTTTCACCACGGCCCGATAAGGCTCACTCGCATCACCCACCCGGCTGCGCAGCTGATCGTTGCAGCGCGTCATCGACAGCGCGCCCTGCAGGTTCTCGAGGTCGCGCAGAAACAGGTCTGCCGCCATCCAGCGCCCAAGCATCAGCACTTCTTCGGTAATCAAGGCCGTCACATTGGGATTGCCGTCCCGGTCTCCGCCCATCCATGTAGCAATGCGCAACGGTGTGGCGTCCAGTGGTATCGGTGGCAGGTCACTCCTGGCCAACGCAGCGTCCAGGTGTCGCAAGGCATCAGGTAGTGCGTACCACAGCGAACTTTCGATAACGGCAAAGCCCCATTTGGCTTCGTCCTGGGGGGTGGGCCGGGTCTTGCGAATCTCGTCGCTGTGCCAGGCCTCTGTAATCAGCCGCTGCAGTTCTGCGTGTTTCTGTTCCGCGTCCTTGCCCAGGGCTGTTTCAATGGCGTCGTACTTCTGAATCATGGTGCGGCGAAGCACTTCGGTCGGATGTGCGGTGAGCACCAGCTCAATGGCGAGTTCTGATACGGCGGATGCCACTGACTCATTTGCAGGCAGCGTCAGCCCAATGTCAGGTTGGCGCGCAACATGCGCCTGTTCGGCGATGTTGGCGAGGTTGAGAAACTGATTAAAGGCGCGGGCGATGGTTACGAGCGTCTGATCGTTTTGCTTAGCCAGCCAGGCGCTGAGCTCTGACCAGTTGGTAACCTCAGCAGCCCTGGCATCCTTTGCCAGAGCCCGTACCGTTTCAATATCCGCCAGTGCATCTGCACCCTGATCCTCAGCAATGATGGACCCGAGTAGATTGCCCAGCGCGCGGACGTCGTCACGCAGTTGTTCGTCGATGTGATCGAGGTCTGGGTTGGCCATGGAAACTCTGTGTTGGTTTCGATGCGTGCTAGGCTACCGCAAAATTGACGTTGGCGGGGCAATGCCATTGAGACAACCGCTCACCGATCCCGTCGTCATCGATAAGATCCTCATCCAAATCTGTCAATCACGCGCGCCACCGGTGCAAGCAAAAAAGCGCTTCGTTTACAGATTCAGATCAATACACCCAGGCCAGGACCTAACCCGGGGAAAGTACATGCGTTTTTTAGCTTGTCAGCACCTCTGGCAGGCCAGCAATATCATTGATAATCGGGCAGTCGGGGCGACCATCGCCGTGGCAGTGGTCGGCGAGTTGTTTCAGCGTTGAGCGCAGCGATTTAAGCTCTTTGACCTTGCGGTCGATCTCTTTGATTTTTTCCGTAGCCAGCGCTTTGACGTCTGAACTTGCCCGCGCTTTGTCATCATAAAGCGAAAGCAACAGGCGGCATTCTTCGATGGTAAAACCAAGGCTGCGCGAGCGCTGCACAAAGGCCAGCCGATGAATATCTGCGTCCCGATAGTCGCGATAGCCATTGGCCGCGCGGTCCGGCTTCACCAGCTTGATATCTTCATAATAGCGGATGGTTTTCGCCGGCAGACCCGTTGCATCAGATGCCTGACCAATATTCATAGCTTGGCTCCTTTAGGTTTTTGTGTTTGCCGATCACGCATCAAGGTCAATCCGGCGCAACCGCAGCGCGTTAGTGATGACCGAGACCGAAGACAGGCTCATCGCTGCGGCAGCAATCATCGGCGAGAGCAATGTGCCAGTGAGCGGATATAATATGCCTGCCGCGATGGGTATGCCCGCCGCATTATAAGCGAAAGCGAAAACCAGGTTTTGCTTGATGTTGCGCAGTGTCGCGACGGACAATTTGCGCGCACGCACAATGCCCGTTAGATCGCCGCGCAGCAACGTGACACCCGCACTTTCCACCGCCACATCTGCGCCGGTGCCCATGGCAATACCGACTTCGGCCGCAGCCAATGCCGGCGCATCATTGACGCCATCGCCGGCCATCGCCACCTTATGCCCCTGCGCATGCCATTCATCGACCAGCGCTTTTTTATCTTCGGGCAAAACACCAGCGCGCACTTCATCAATACCCAGCTGATCGGCAACCGCGCGCGCTGTCTTTTCATTGTCACCTGTCGCCATAACAATCTTGATCCCAGCCTCGCGCAGCTTTGCGATTGCATCGCGTGTTGTGGCTTTGATCGGGTCTGCCACGGCGATAAGCCCAGCCAGCTTTCCATCAATGGCAACAAACATCGCCGTCTTCCCTTCGAGGCGCAACATGTCCGCTTGTTCATCGGCAGCCGTGTGGTCTACGCTCGCATGCTTCATCATCGCCGCGTTGCCAAGCGCAATTTTGGTTTTACCTGACATGCCCTGCACACCCTTGCCGGTGATCGCTTCAAAGTCAGTGATTTGACAGGAAACTATATTCTTAGCGGCAATCGCTTCCGCGATTGCTTCAGCCAACGGATGCTCGGAACCAGCTTCAAGCCCACGCACCATCGCCAACATATCGCTTTCTTTGGTCGCGCCGAATGAAACAATATCGGTCAGCGTTGGCTTGCCTTCGGTCAGCGTGCCTGTCTTGTCCACAATTAGCACATCCACTTTTGCCATGCGTTCCAGCGCTTCAGCGTCCTTGATTAAAACGCCAGACTGCGCACCGCGTCCTGTTGCCGTCATGATCGACATGGGTGTCGCCAGCCCAAGTGCACAAGGACAAGCGATAATCAGCACAGACACGGCAGAGATCACCGCAAACACAAAAGAGGGCTCCGGGCCGACGAAAAGCCACATCACAAAAGCCAGCGCTGCGATGATGACCACTGTTGGCACGAAGTAAGATGCGACGCGGTCGGCCAGGCCTTGTATGGGCGCGCGTGAACGCTGGGCAGACGATACCATAGCAACAATGCGGGCCAGCGTGGTTTCATCGCCAACTTTTGCGGCCTCAATAACGACGGTGCCGTTCCTGTTGATGGTGCCGCCAGTGACCGTATCGCCTTGGGCTTTTTCAATGGGAAGCGGCTCACCTGTCAGCATGCTTTCGTCGATCGATGTCCGGCCTTCCAGCACAATCGAATCGACCGGCACGGCTTCACCGGGACGAACGCGCATGCGGTCCCCTTCGATGATATTTTCCAGCGGCGCGTCATATTCATCGCCATCGGGTGTGATGCGGCGCGCCATCTTCGGTGCAAGGTCAAGCAATGCTCGTATTGCGTCGCCGGTACGTTCACGGGCGCGCAGTTCTAACACCTGCCCTACGAAAACAAGCGCAATAATGACAACCGCCGCTTCAAAATAAACAGGCAAATGACCGCTTGGCATTTGCAGTCCGGCAGGGAAAAGGCTCGGCAGAAAAGTCGCAACCGTAGAATATCCATAGGCTGCACCAACGCCGATCATAATCAACGTCCACATATTGAGGTGCCACGTTTTGATGGACGTCCAGCCACGATGGAAAAACGGTGCCGCCGCCCAGAGCACGACGGGCGTTGCGAGCGCAAACTCCAGATAAAGGCTCACGCGCTCGCCGAGCCATTCTCTTACAGGCAGACCAACCATCGGTCCCATTGTCAGGATTAGTAGGGGTAAAGCCGCAGCGATACTCACCCAGAGCTTGCGTGTAAAATCTATCAGCTCATGGTTTGGCCCGTCTGAAACTCCGCCCATAGGCTCTAAGGCCATCCCACAGATCGGACAGGTTCCCGGCCCCTCTTGAATGATCTCAGGGTCCATCGGACAGGTGAAAGTCGTGTCTGCCGGCGCCGCCTGCCGTTTCCTGGCCTTATTGCCAGACAGATAAAAATACGGATCGCCACCAAATTTTGTGTGGCAGCCCGAGCTACAGAAATGAAAGTCATCGCCCTTATAATTTAGCGTTGGCTTACCTGCATCCAGCTTAACGGTCATGCCGCAGACAGGGTCTTTTACAGTGCCCTCTATCGCGACGGTCGCGCCTTTAAAAATATCGCGCGCTTCATCATGACTGGCATGGTCGTGGCCTTCGTGCTTACCACCGCAACAATCACTTTCTTCTGCCGCTTCCATTTTCAATCTCCTATTGTTGGAGATATGTTAAGGCTTCCAGTCGATGGAAGGTCAAGGCGCGATTATTCATGTTTAAAATATGAAAGTTATTCAATAGGATCACGAACACGCCGGACAATAAAAGCAGGTTCGCTGGAAATGATATCCGGCGGGAATCGGTGGCGTTTTTACGTACTTATCCACCGATTCGCGCGAGTTAAGTTGTCAGTACCAAAAAACGGGACATGGAAGTGTCCCGTTTTTTATGCTCGCATTAGAGCAGGATCTGCTCGCGGCTGATCACCACTTTGCAGACAGCTTCTTCTTCACCAGCTCGTTTTTCAACGTCACATATTGCGGCATACCGTTTTTGTACGTCGGATAATCTTCACCACTGATCAGTGGCGCCAGATAGCGTTTACCAGCTGCCGTCACACCAAAACCATCACTGCTGATGTAGTTCTTCGGCATCTTGCGCTCAACGTTGGCTACCCGTGAAAGTTTGGCTTCGCCAATTTTCCATCGATAGGGTTTATCGCTGGTACGCACGATGGTGGGCATCACCGCGTTTTTACCGGCTACAGCAAATTCCACCGCCGCCTTGCCTAACGCATACGCTTGCTCAACATCTGTGGCAGAGGCGATATGTCTTGCCGCGCGCTGAAGATAGTCCGCCACCGCCCAGTGATATTTGTAACCCAGCTTGGCTTTGATCATCTCTGCCAGCATCGGCGCAACGCCGCCCAGCTGTGTATGACCAAAGGCGTCTTTACCACCCGCATCAGCCAGGAATGAACCGTCTTTGTACTGCGCGCCTTCCGAGGCAACAATCACGCAGTAGCCTTTGTCTTTGACCGTCTGTTTTACTTTCTGCAGGAATTTGGTCTGCACAAATGGCACTTCCGGCAGCAGGATGATATGTGGTGCGTCACCATTGGTTTCCTGAGCCAGCGAGGCTGCCGCTGCGATCCAGCCCGCATGCCGCCCCATAACTTCCAGCACAAAGATTTTTGTTGAAGTCTCACACATGGACGCTACGTCCAGTGCGGCTTCACGGGTCGAGACAGCCACATATTTGGCCACCGAGCCAAAACCCGGGCAGCAGTCTGTGAAAGGCAGGTCGTTATCCACGGTTTTAGGCACACCGATACACGTCAAATCGTAGCCGCTCTGATGCCCGAACTGAGCGACCTTATTGGCGGTGTCCTGGGAATCCCCGCCGCCGTTGTAAAAGAAATAGCGGATGTTGTGGGCTTCAAACACGTCCAGCAGTCGCTGGTACTCACGTGCGTTCTCCTGCAGAGATTTCAGTTTGTAGCGGCAGGAGCCAAAGGCGCCGCTGGGTGTCTGACGCAAGCCGGCTATATTTTTTGCCGATTCTTTAGACGTATCAATCAGCTCTTCATTCAGCGCGCCCAGAATGCCGTTGCGACCGGCATAAACCTTACCAATTACATCTTTGTGCTGGCGCGCCGTCTCAATGACGCCACAGGCTGAGGCATTGATCACTGAGGTCACACCACCGGATTGCGCATAAAAAGCATTGGCTTTAGCCATAACAATACTTGTCTCCATTGGGTTTAATTTGATTTACGTTGCAAAAAAACGCGCTCTATTGTCCGTGAAGGCCGCTATTTGTGCGACAATTTATTTATTCCGATTGATTGACGTGCATGAAATCTATTTTCCAGCTGTTCTGGCGCATCTGTCTGTTTCGCGACGGCCCGGAGACCATTCCCGCCAACAACGTGTTGCTGTTGCTGACACTGTTCGCCAACGCGGCACTGAATATTGTGGTGCAACTGGCCTGGGGCGGCGAGAACGTCACTGTTCTGCGAGCAATCACCATCGCCATTGTCAGCCTGGCGGGTACCGGCGCGCTGGTCTGGTTTGTGATGATGCTCATGTCATTGACCAATCGCCTGCCGCAGACGCTCACCGCTATTTTTGGTGCTGAGGTTATTCTCACAAGCCTCAGTGCCCTGCTGTTACTGTCCAGTGATGCGCTCGGCACAAGCGTGACTCGCTTTGTCATCACCATGCTGACGCTCTGGAGCCTTGCGGTTTACGGCTTTATCTTTCATCGCGCCCTCAATATTCACATTGGCCTGGGTATTGGCATGGCGCTTTTTGTGGTTATTTTTTCAATGGCCATCACTCAAACGGCGCTTGCCACATGACCAAACATATTTACTTCCTGGGCATCGGCGGCACGTTAATGGGCAGCCTTGCACAACTGGCTCAGCAGATGGGTTTCGCCGTCAGTGGCAGCGATACCAGCGTCTATCCGCCAATGAGTGATCAGCTGGCTGCCGCCGGCATTACCGCCCACGAGGGCTTTGACCCGGCCCATCTGGATCCTGAACCCGACATGATCGTGATCGGCAACGCCGGCCTGCCACGCGGGCACGAAGCTGTGGAGTACATCCTGGAGAAAGGTCTGCCATATACCTCCGGGGCGCAATGGCTGGGCGAAACCGTTTTGCGTAATCGCTGGGTATTGGCGGTTGCAGGCACCCACGGCAAGACCACTACCGCATCCATGCTGGCGTGGATTCTTGAGCAGGCGGGCCTGGCGCCAGGCTACCTGATTGGTGGCGCGCCGATGAATTTTGAGCAGTCTGCACGGCTGGGCGAGCGCCCGTTTTTTGTCGTCGAAGCGGACGAGTACGACACCAGCTACTTCGACCGCCGTTCAAAATTTGTTCACTACCGGCCACGCACGCTGGTCCTTAACAATCTCGAATATGATCACGCGGATATTTTTCCAGACATCCAGTCGATTCAAACTCAATTTCACAACCTGCTGCGCACGGTGCCAAAAACCGGCCTGATACTGGTACCCAGCAATGATGACCATATCAACGAAGTTCTTGCCATGGGCTGCTGGTCTGACGTTGCGCGGGTAGGTGAGCGTGCACCTAAGAAAGTCATCAACAACGACATCGGCGAACACTGGCAGGTTGGAACCACCAGCTCAGACGGATGTGAATTCGAGGTCATGCTCAATGACAAAAGCCAGGGTCGTGTCAGCTGGAATCTGATTGGTAAACATAATCAGACCAACGCATTGAACGCGATTGCCGCAGCACGACATGCCGGCGTGCCCGTCAGCGAGGCGATAACGGCGCTGGGCGAGTTCAGCGGCGTTAAACGGCGTCTGGAAATTCTGTTCGACAATGACCAGTTTGCTTTATACGACGACTTCGCCCATCACCCCACTGCTATCCGCACAACGCTGGAAGGCTTACGCAAACAAGCTGGCAGTGACGATATTATCGCGCTGATTGAACCGCGCACCCATACCATGTCGTTAGGCACTCTGCGCCACGAGCTGACCACCTGCGTTGCCGCTGCGGATCAGGTTATCTGGTACCGTGGCGAGAACATCAAATGGGACCTTGGCGAAGTTGCTCAGCATTGTGTGGTACCCGCGCAAATGCTCGACAACCATGAGGCTGTGATTAACAAAGTAATTGAACTGGCAACCACCGAACGCCGCAGGAAGTGTCACGTTGTGATCATGAGTAACGGCGCGTTCGGTGGTATCTATAAAACTCTGACCAATCGACTTAACGCACTCTAGGGAGAGAAGTATGCAACCATTCAAACTGTTTAAACACCTGATACTGGCCGGGATCGGTATATTTGCCGTTTCAGGCACAGCAGAAGAAGCCTGGCATCCGTCTAAATACGGCGCTCAGGATACCCTCGGCGCCATAAATAATTTGTCAGCTGACAAAGTAAAACAGGCCGCCCTGCTGGTAAAAACAGGTAAAACCTACGCGCTAGGCGTTGAAACCGGTCCGGAATCTCCCGCTTATCCGCCACGTTCCTACTCCATGACGGTGCTGCAGCTCGACGATGGCATGGGTACACCGCTGGGCTCAAATAAAGCCACGGGCAACGATGATCTGATGAACCTGTGGATGGGTATTGGCAGTCAGATTGATGGTCTCGGCCACATGGGTGTCAATCACGTTTACTACAATGGCAACAAAGCCAGCGACTTTGTCACGCCGAAGGGTTTGACCAAGCTGTCTATCGATAAGCTGCCCCCCATAGTGACCCGGGGCGTGCTGCTGGATATGGCCAAACATATGGACCAGGCGATTCTGCCCGAAGGTACTGCGTTCAACAGCACGCAGATCAAGTCCGCGGCTCGTGAAGCTGGCATTACCATTGAGAAAGGTGACGTGGTGCTGTTTCACACCGGCTGGCTGAACATCATGGACAGTGACCCCGAGCGATTTATGGCGGGCCAACCCGGTTTAGGGGTGGACGGTGCACAATATCTGGCCGGACTGGGCGTGGTGGCCGTAGGCGCGGACAACTGGGCACTTGAAGTTCTGCCGTCCGAAGATCCTCAACAGGCTTTTCCGGTTCATCCCGAGTTGTTGGCTAAAAATGGCGTCTACATACTTGAAAACATGGATACCCGCGCGCTGGCTGCCGACGGCGTCACCGAATTTCTGTTTGTATTAGGCCAACCTCGTTTTGTGGGAGCCGTACAGGCTGTCATTAACCCGGTAGCTATTCACTGACATGTTGAACAATAAAAATATCATCATCACGGGCGCGGGCAGCGGCATCGGCCGCGCCACCAGCTTACTGGCAAGCCAATATGGTGCCAATCTGGTCTGCGTTGATCTCAGTGACGCTGTTCATGAGACAGTGGCTGAAGTCCACAAACAAGGCGGCAAAGCCATTGCAGTTCAGGCAGACGTCAGCAAAGAAGCGGACGTCGCAGCCTACGTACAGGCGTGTATCGACGAGTACAGCCACCTGGATGGCATCTACGCCAACGCCGGCGTTGTGGGGGGCGGCAAACCCATGCTGGAACTCACCGTTGAAGACTGGCAGCGCACCTTGAACATCAACACCGTTGGTGTATTCCTGGCAGTCAAACACACTGTGCCGCTGTTCACAGCCCAGGGTTCAGGCGCCATTGTCTGCACAGCTTCGGTAGCGGGTTTGCGCGCTAACGCTGGCGGCGTTGATTACAGCGCCAGCAAAGCGGGTGTCATCAGCATTGCACAAACGGTTGCTTATCAGCTTTACGGCACCGGTGTACGCATCAACGCCATCTGTCCTGGTCTGATAGAAACGGGTATGACTAAACCCGCGTTCGATCGCGCCAAAGAGCGTGGTACCGAAGAGCGTATTGGCCAGATCAACCCTGCCAGGCGCCACGGGCAACCTTCTGAAATCGGTGAGATGGCATGCTTTTTATTGAGCGATCGCGCCTCTTACGTAAACGGTCAGGCGATCCCCGTCGATGGTGGGCTTTCCGCATCGCATCCGTGGGTCTTCCCGAAAAGCTGAAAAGCACAGTGAAAAAGGAGCTGAACATGGTACGTGTTGTCTTGTGCCTGCTGATCCTGACCGGTTGCGCAACCACCAGCACACCGGTGCAGGCGGAAAAAAGTGAGCGGTTGAACGTCGAAATACCTATGGGGTGGACTGCGGTAGTCTCACGAACTGTAGGCGACATCCAGGTTGCCGAATACTATCCGCCGGACAGCACGGAAGCATGGCAGCAGAAAATATCAGTCGAAGCGCTTTCAGGCAGCGATCTTCCGGACCCGCTGGTATTTACCGAAGGCATGGCAGAACAACAAAGCCGCTTATGTAATCGCTTCAGCGTTAATCCCATATTTGCCGGTTTCGAAAATGGTTATGCAAGTGCTGTACAGATGATGCAGTGCGGCGACAACAAACAAACCGGCAAAGACGTGGTGACCGTCATCAAAGCTATTCGTGGCAACGATTCTTTTTATACGGTAACACGAATCTGGCGTTTGGATCAGGCACCCCCACCACTGGCGCCTGAAACAATCAATCTGGATCAGAACGAACTGGCATCCTGGTCACAAGCCTTACGCAGCGTCCAGGTCTGCGACCCTGCACTGGCGGAACATCCCTGCCCTGAGGCCAGCCCCTCACCCTGATCAGAATTGTTCAGGGGTCAAACCCATTACGGCATCAGAGGCAGACAGAATACTCTGCTCCAGTCCTATGCTGGCCGGTAGAATACGATTGAAGAAAAACTGCGCAGTAACCCGTTTACCGTCACCAAAATCATCCGCAGGTGCAACATGCGCCATACGTGCCCACAACCAGGCATAAATGGTTAAGCCAAACAGCTCGAGAAAATCTGTACTGACGGCACCGGGTAGATTGGGGTCTTCTGCACTTCGCTCGATGACCGAACCGGTAACCCGCACCAGTCGATCCAGAGCTTCCTGCAGATCCGCCTGATGGACATCAGCAACTTCAGACTGGCCCATGTCATCAATGAATTTACGTAAGGTTACACCGCCATCTCGCAGCACTTTGCGGCCAATAAGATCCAACGCCTGCACGCCATTTGTGCCTTCATAAATCTGCGCAATGCGCGCATCGCGCACCACCTGTTCAACCCCCCACTCCTGCACATAGCCGTGGCCCCCAAACACCTGCTGCGCCATTACCGCACCATCAAAGCCGCGATCACTGAAATAGGCTTTTGCCACCGGGGTCAACAATTCTGAACGCGCATGGGCCTGCGCATCTTC